GCGAGAGAGAGAGAGAGAGAGAGAGAGAGAGAGAGAGAGAGAGAGAGAGAGAGAGAGTCAGGCAGAGGTATGAAATAGCAGAGGAACAAACATGCCATCGTTTACTTGCGTGGAGCTCCTCTTGTGTTTGGGGCTTAAATGACCCAAAAGAAGCAAATAAACTGTCCACAGAGGGACCAGAGGACAGAGAGACAAGAGTAACACATGAACGGGGACAACAAAACACATGTCAGCAACATATCCAGGGCTTTCATGTGACTCTTACCACGCTTCTTATGAGAGAATGCCAGATCCAGATCCACGTTCCTCCGTCCACTCTGAGGAGACATAGGCAGCTGTGAGACATCAACACCACAAGTAAAGCTGAGTGAGAGAGAGAGAGTGTCTGCCTCACCAGGTTGTAGCTCTCCTCGTCTGACTCGGGTTGGGACAGGTCCGACTCACTCCTGGATTTAATCAATCGGTAACTCGGGCTGCTCTGCACCGAGCGGCTTTCTGTACTCAGACTCTCACTTCTGAAAATCAGAGACACCATGAAACTCATGATGGGGTTTTTCAGACTAGATGGTTTTGACTGAAGCACCTCCATCCCGTCAGACCTGATCTAACTACTCTGATTTGATCTAGTTTTCTAACAGAACTTTGTCTCTTGCTGATTCCTGGAGTTTGTACAGTTCTGAAGTATTTGGACTTGTGTTCTGACCTTGTCATGAAGCTCAGACACTCCTGTGTTGCTGTAGCCGACTGGATCGGGCCGTCCTCCTGGTTCTGTTTAATCTGCTCACTCAGCACCGGGCTGACTCCCAGCAGCAGCAGGGAGCAGCGATGGATCACCGAGTTGCAGGCTGCCGTGTACAGGTCTTGGCCCTCGGTGGGACCGGAGCTGCCCCGCCGCCCTTCCTGAGATAGAACCACATCTTCTTCTCCTCCTCCTGCTGCAGCTCCACACCGGGATCCGGATCCAGAACCCAGTCCTGTGCTACTGCTGGCCCGCTCTCTGTCCCGACTCCGAGCCACTTCCCGTGCTGAGAGGAAACATTGAAATATTTCTGTGTTGTGCGTCAAGCACATACACACACATGCACACACACGAGTGCGCACACACGCACACACACACACACAAGTGATGCAGGGTTAGAGAACAAGCAGCAGTTTATCACTCTATAATAATAAGCTGCACGATCAATAAAGGATTCAAATCAATAACTGATGGCAACAGGAACGGGGCCTGGATCGTTTCATCATCGAGGCACAAGAATCTAATACGAGCCATGAGCAAAGCACGAAGGATCAACAACAGGTTTTAGTTCAGAACTCCTGGGGCCTCATTCATCAACCGTACTTACGCACAGATCTGTAGGAACTAATTTAGTAAGTAAGTAAATTTTATTTATATAGCACTCATCACAGACATAGAATCACAAAGTGCTTCACATAGATCACAACAAAATAAAACAAAGTCATAAAATCATAAATAGATTAACATCATAAAAAATAAAGTCATAAAATTATAAATTTTCATAAACAGATGAAAGATTAAAAATTTGAGTTAAAAATAAGAAAATAAAAGTTTTAGGTAAAAGCAGCTTTAAATAAAAGGGTCTTTAGCTGTTTTTTTAAAAGTGTCCAGACTGTCAACGCTGCGTAAGGATGAAGGAAGATCATTCCAGAGTCGGGGTGCTGCAGTCTGGAGGGAACGATCACCTCGGCTTTTATATCTGGCCTTTGGAACTTCTAGAAGGTTCTGGTGGGTGGACCTAAGGGCTCGGGTTGGAGCATAAGGCTTTAACAGTTCAGTAATATAGGGAGGAGCATGACCTTGTTGAGCATTGAAAATTAGAATCAGGATTCTAAAAAGAACTCTAAAGTTAACGGGTAACCAGTGCAGACATTAGAATAGGAGTGATATGTGCTCTTCTGTTTGGTCCAGTTAGGAGCCTCGCTGCAGAGTTCTGGACCAACTGGTCAAGGGCTTTTTTGTTAGAACATGTGAAAAGTGTGTTACCCCTTCTTTCCACCAGAGCCGTCAGCAGCACGTTACTGCAGCGGCACGTCTTGCTCGAGTAAGCTGCTGCTTGGCCCTTCCCACGAGACGCGAAGCAGCAGGGGAGCAGCTGTCACCGACAGAGCACGAAGTCACACGAGTGACTTCGTCAGTAAACACAACAACAAGCAGGAGAAAACTACAACATGGCTCCAAAAGGTTTGTGTTTTATGTTCTGTCCGTTTTATAATCGCCAATACGGACCTGAAAAACAAAGGAGACCGCTAGCTAGGTGATAACTTCTCACGGGGCCGCACAGTTAGTAACTTTTTTTTTTAAAGTAAAGCAACCGGAAGGCAGTACGTTTCTTTATTCTGAAAATCTCGGGAGCTTCGCTCCGTTTCTACGTCATATTTCCTGTCTTTTTTTTCCTGTCGTTTTTGAGTGACCTTAAAGAGACACTGATTGGACAAAAATTACACCCAAATTTCTTAAGTTTGTCTTGACGGCAGAGGATAAATGAGCAAGTTTTAAACTAATCAGGGGAACCATCCTCTCAGGGGCAATGATCAGACATTCTGTCTTTTCAGAGTTTAACTGAAGGAAGTTATCCTCTAGCCAGCTGGTGATAGCTGATAGACACTCTTTTAATTCAGACAGTTTATAGAACTCAGAATCCTTAAAGGAACAGTACAGCTGAATATCATCTGCATATAGGTGATAAGAGACATTATGAAAAGAATCAAGTATCTGTCCAAGAGGGTGTATGTGTAGCAGAAACAACAGTGGACCCAAAACAGAGCCTTGGGGTACCCCACAGAACAGATCAATTTACGTATTGTATGTGTAACGTCCAGCAATGGTCAGTTTTCACCTTTTACATGTGGTGTTCATAATTCTGTACCCGTGCGTGGAAATGTTCCTAAACATAAGAAAACTTCAGACCATGCGTAGGAACAGCATGTAGTGGTAGAGTGGGAGAACCGCAACGCCGAAGGTCTCAGTCAACTATAAATACCAAATAAATAATTTTTTTAGGTGGAAAAACAGCTGAGTCACATAATTGATGCTAAAACACCTGACGGGAATCTGACATTAAGGAATGGTTGTCCTGTTTTTGCAATCAAATTTTTTCTCTTCCCATTTTTATTGTTTCTAATTTATGAGAACCCCCAGAACCTCCTCTGCTCACACACGCGTTGCCAAGGTAAACAGACTGAATGACAGTTCACTCTCAACATGTCTAAATAAAACAAACTCCAACCAGAACGACTCCTTAAATGTAAAATGTAAATGATATCAGCTACTCTACGATTTATCATATCAGTTTTTATTTATTCCCAACAGGCACCTCTCCTCTGTCCTGACCGCGTTTATAACCTCTGCAACTCGTTTGGTTCTTTTGCGCTTCAGCAGCCAGCTTCTCATTCTCACAAGTTTTTTTACGGGTAGAATGCAGGGAGGACTTGGAGTGATCAAATATGGTTAATTGAGGGCGTTTCTGTATGTAAATGACTGAGAATGGACACGAGCACCTGGGTACGCACAGGTGGGATTTATACTCAGACGAGTGCGTAGTGGCATGCGTACGAGGCCACCGCATGTTTCATCAATTAGAATTTTGACTGTTCGTACAAGCATTCTACATTTCGTTCACCGGAACAAATGTAGGAAAATTTCTATGGACGTTTGATGAATGAGGACCCGTGTCTCTGATACCCAGCAGACTTCTGTTACAGAGGTTCTAGATCAGCGGTTCTTCAGACTTTATTAGTGAATCCAAACATCTCCAGCCAGATAAACTTACTTCCAGCTGTCATCACTTCATGTTCTCTGTCTTCCTCTTCATCGTCTTGCTCCTGGTGACCTTCTTCTCTCTCGCGGTCGGCTCTCTCTTCCAGCTCCGCCTCCTCGTCAATGGTGCGAGTGAACGAGTGCTCCTGGGGGTCCATGTCCAAAGAATCCTGATTGTCTGAAATCTGACCACAAAAGAGAACTTGGTTCTGCAAAGTTCCAGAAGGATTGATTAAAGGAAACTTGGCTGTTAGAATGGAGACGACTTGTTGGGTCAACATCAGCTGTGGGTTCTGTTCGATAAACAACTTTATTTGAGTCCAGATTCCTCTGACTGCGACCACAGCTGATACCATGAACCCCAGGTTTGTGTGAATGCCAGAGAGAAGAAGAAGAAGAAAATATCATTTCTATAGCGCCTCTCAAGATAAAAATCACGAGGCGCTTCACAAAAACAAAAAATGTTAAAATATCAAAAAGTATTTAGAAAATGTTTTAAATAGATTTTAAATGAGCAAAAGTAGACAATTGTGATAAAAAATGTTAAGAAAGAGAGAGAGTGAATAGGAAAGAGGGAAATCAGTGGATCCTGAGGAAGGTGGAATAGGTGGGGAGAGCAGAATAAAGAGAGTGGTGAAGAAGGTCATACAAAAGCCAGCTTGAACAAGTGAGTCTTCAGCTGTTTTTTTAAAGGAGACCACTGAGTCCACTGATCTCAGGCTCAGGGGGAGAGAGTTCCAGAGTCTGGGGGCCACAGCAGCAAATGATCTGTCACCTTTGGTCTTTAGCCTGGTGCTGCACAACCAGTAGGCTTTGATCACTGGACCTCAGGGACCTGCTGGGGGTGTAGGGACTAGGGCTGCTCGATTATGGCAAAAATAATAATCACGATTATGATGACTGAAATTGAGATCACGATTATTTAGGACGATTTTTCAATTTATGTTGATTTTATTTGTTTTTATTCAGTCATAAAACTGCTCAGGGCACAATCAGGACAAAAATAAGAAACAAGATGATCACTAAAATAACTCCTGATTCCCAGTATAAAAAGACCAATATACTTATAGCTCATAGTCTATGACCCAAGGGCTATAGACCTTGGTTTAACTCATTTAAGTCTAACCAGTACAGACCCAAATACCAATATCTTGCAAATACTGACAGCAAGAATTATACAGTGGCATTTATAACAAATAAATGCAAATAAATTGATGTTCACAAAATGTTGCGTAACATTTACTGAGTCGTGTCAAGGTGCTGTAGGAGCGTGCACTAGCACCGTGTCCTCAGAGAGATTAGTTATTAATTATCAGCGTGAGGAAGTTATTTCTACCTTATTTATAAACTATTTATTTACAAGTCCATCAGTTAATGTAATAATTTTCCCAACCACAGCTGCACCCCCCACCCCCCAACCCGGTCTCACAGCAATCGGGGCAAGCTGCACGTGTGTTTAGCACGCTGCACGCGCACATTTAGCTGTTTTTAGTGGCTCAGGAGTCCGCAGGTGCGGTGTGTGTGTCACTCACTCTGGTTACTCCAACAGGGAGCCGGCTCCGAGAGCTGTTTCTTTAGCGACCGACACATCACTGCATCATTCCCTTTCCTAATGTTGTGAAGAACGGTCCGGAGCACAGGCGGAGTGTTTAGCTAACTTGCAGGAAATGTCGACGACAGTTATCCAGAAAGTAGCTAAGGGTTACCAGAGATGTTTCTGAGATGTTCGCCAGGTACTTTTAGGATTAAAAAGTCAAGAAGGGGGTCTGAAAAGCTGCTAGAAATAGCGTCAAAGTCGCTAAGTTGGCAACACTGTGGAGGAGCGCTTCATTTGTAACTCAGGGCAGCGCAAGCGGGAGGAGCAAATAATCGGCTTGTTTTGTTTTTTATAATCGTCCAAAACTCAGATCGTAATCGTGATTAAAATTCGATTAATTGAGCAGCCCTAGTAGGGACTAAGAAGATCACCAATGTAAGATGGTGCTTGTCCATGTAAGGCCCTATAGACCAGAACCAGGATCTTGAAATGAACCCTGAAGTTGACTGGCAGCCAGTGAAGCTGGAGGAGAAGCGGGGTGATGTGGGTGTGTTTGGAGGACTTGGTCAGAAGCCGAGCACAGGCGTTCTGAACCACCTGTAGACGGTTCAGGGAGGTTCTGCTCAGACACGTGAAAAGAGAGTTACAGTAGTCTAAGCGTGAGGAGATGAAGGTGTGGAGAACTGTCTCAAGTTCAGAGCGGGACAGAATGGGACTCAGCTTAGCAATGTTCCTGAGATGGAAGAAGGAAGAGCGAAACTCACCCTCCTCTCACGAGAAGAGGACCTGGTCTGGATGAAGTCCATATTCTTACAAGCCAGCAGGCGGTTCCGTACTTTATAAACGCTACGATAGACCTCTGACAGAGACTTGGAAGGCTGATACCTGACAGGAAAATCAAAACCTCTGTGAGACATGGAACTCAGGATGAGCCGCGAGGAAACGTTCCGTGTTCGTAGTGTCGGTTCACCTTCCCTCGCCACAGGCTTGGCCCAGCAGCCCGGTGTGCTTCAGCAGAGCCGCCAGCACAAACCTGGACACGGTGTCCAGAAGAGACTCGTTGTTCAGAGATGCATTGTCCCAGTCTGTAACAGGAAGTGAAGATGTGTTAGCGTCCTGATCTATTCACAGTGAGTCACACCTACCAAAACTAACCTTTACTGATGGCGTAGTCCTGCAAGTTGATCCACAGGCTGTTGGAGGGTTCTTTAGAAGAACCCAGAGCCAGGTCCACCAGAACACTCAGATCGGATCGTAGCGTGCAGTCCAGAGGCTTCTGCTCCTCGTTTCCTGACAGCGCCGCTTCTAGGAGGGAGCTGATGCAGGCATCTGGAGGAAAGAGTTCAACTCAAGACGTTATAACTAATAAATCACTATAAAACAATCAGATTCACTTTAAAATCGCCTCTATAAAATGTTTCTGATGAGGAGGCGAAGAGCAAAATAAAATATCACTGATACCTCATAAAAACTAAAATCATTTATGACTTCATGCATGATTCTACAGAATCTGGTTTTGTTTCTTACTGCCGTGATTCATCATCTGCAGGTTTATCCCAAACAACATGGCCAACACCACTAGTCACTATAAGATGTGTGTGTGTGTGTGTGTGTGTGTGTGCGTGCGTGCGTGCGTGCGTGTGTGTGTGTGTACTACACATTTTCAAGATTTAATTCAATCATTTTTATAAAATAAAAACTTCAAACATTAATTTCATCGATGATTTCTATTTGCTAAAATGAACAGAAATCAGACCATGAAGCCTGAACTCTCATGACGTTTTGTTCATCTTAACTGTAAGAGGAATGCTTTCAGTACCGAGCTGTGGGATGTCCATTTCCAGGCCGTTGCTTAGCAGCGGAGTTTTAAGCCAGTACGCCGTGTCCTGCTCCTCCAGAGACGTGGCAGCTCCCTGCAGCATCCCCCCCAGGCAGCGGCCCACCAGCAGGGCTATGGTCCGCTCCAGGTCCACCAGCCAGACCCAACACAGGGCTGGCTGCAGCAGGGGCAGTCCGGAGGCCGGCTCAGCAAAGTCTGACGTACCTGCACAGGCAGAGAGAAAACAAACTATCATTTCTGACTTATGCTAATAAAATGTTACATTATTCTTCATAAAACTGGTTTATGAACAAATGAGGTGAACAGAACCGGTTATTCAAACTGGTTAGAATTCTTCTGAAAAGGTAACAAGCTTTTCTTCTTTGACTAAAAGGTTTGGTTGAATTCTGACACCTACAGCTAAGTATGTCCCAGGTCCTGGTCTTGGTCGGCATCCCAGGCTGTGCTCTGATTACAGTTCTTTGGTAGTCAAACACTCTAATGGAGCTAAAATTATGTTTTCCTTAATATTTATTTAGATTCAGCTAAAAAAAAGAGACCAATGATATTAAATTTTAACTCTTTACTTTTGATCGGACCAACAACCCAAAGGAGATAGCTTGGTTAGTGTTATTGGACCAGGGTCCAGCTGAGCTCCTGTCTCCTGCTCACCATGCAGAGGCCACTGCAGCTCTTGGTCCTCCAGGGGGGAGGCAGCAGGCAGCAGCCTGTTGAGGCGGTCCAGGGGAGGCAGCAGGTCCAGCAGGTAGCTCAGCAGTGGTCTCACCACAGATACTGGGAGCAGCAACAATGAGTTGATGATCTGGCACAGCATGCTGCCAGCTGCTGACACGTAGATCACATCTGGAGAGGACATAGGAGCATAAACATCACAGATAAAACTCATTACACAAGTTTAACTCAGTGAGATCTTCACCCTGCAGCTTCTCCTGGATGCTTCCGTTCCAGGAGCTCTCCTTTATCAGAGCAGCCGAGCGGGAGAAGATTTCTGTGGAGTGAGGCAGCAGCAGCTGCAGGTGTTTGTGCAGAAGAGCCACGCTGCTCGAGTTCTGCAACAAAAAGATGCATCACTTTAGTATTCATGCATCTGGACAACCCAACACTCAACCTTCTGGCCTGAGCTTAAACTGATCAACACTTTAACAAAAATAACCCAAAACAAAACATGAAAATAGAAAACATCTTAATTCAGCTTGATGGAGGAAAAACATGGAACTCCTCAGGGATCAGTCCTGGAGTCTGAGTGCACATTTGGGTTCTGTGACAGGCTGCAGCCACCAGAGACTGAAAATCCTGTTTAAACTGGTTCCGTTTTCAACGAACCTATGGCTCATCCCTTGAGTTTGGCATCACAACCCTACAGTCTGATAAAACAGAGGCAGGGGTCACCTCGGTGACAGCGTTGATGTGGCAGTAAGCCAGCAGCTGCTTCTGTAGGGAGCACAGGAGCTGGTGGAGGTGCGCGGGCTGGCTGCTGTCAGACGGGGAGGTGCTCTGCTGCAGCTTGTCACTGTTCTTCTCCAACTCGCCCAGGGCTTGGTCCTGCACCACACAGGAGACAGCAGGGTTCAGACCAAACCATAGTTTGTTACACCATGACCTCCAGCTGATCTTTTAAACCCGGATAATGAGCCTCTGATGGACAGCGAGTTAAAAACAGAAATGCACCAAAGAAAAAATCAGCTGCTGACTGAAGATCAGCAATTCGTTGCAAAGAAGCAACAGAAAAATCCTACATCCTTTTCAGTCCGTGAACTCACCATGGCTAAGCGCTAACTCACTAGCTATATCTGGACTTTCATGTGGATGTTTTGATTTAATTCAGAAATAAAAAAGAATAATTTTACAATCTACAATCTTTTGAGATTAATCATTGGGCCAAGAATCAGAAATCAGAATCGATAATCAGAACCAAAATCTTAACATCGTTACCAAAACAACAACTAGAGGCAGAAGCAGGAAGGACAACGATGAAATGTGTTGAAGTGCTTTCATGAATATCCGTCTGAAGATTTGCACTCCCAACTCTCCCTCAGAACTCTCCTTTCATGTTGACTCTGAGAAGATGAAACATCTAAACTAAAGCAGACAAAGGCAGCAGAAACAACTCACGGTGTAGAAGCCCAGGTTCCTCAGCAGCGTCTTCATGAGGATCTCAGCCAGGTGTGTGTCGGGTGGGCCCGCCGTGGCGCCGTAGGCAGGGTCGGGATATGCTGTGAACGTCAGAACCGAGGATGGGACCTCAGGTCCGTCGGTGGGAGAGCTGTAGCCCAGGAGCGAGGCTACGTGGGTGTGGTCCTGGAGGCTGGTCAGGATGATGTCCAGCTGCATCCTCTTAAGGTCAAACAGGAAACACAACAACAGCTCCACATGTCACTTCCCATTCGGTCAAACATTCGTGAATGTTAATTTATAAAACTGCTTTCGTTGTTTAGACATGGTAGGATGTTTGACTTTAAATGGCTCAGTTTCAATAAATAGATTTTATTAATGATCATTATGAGAATCGCAGTAAAGACTCTGACACTAGTCAGTGACTCGATGCAACCTGCTGGGTTCCTTGTATAGGAAACTTGTTACTGAGTGGCTTAATGACCTGACCTGTATTGGATTGTTTATTATGTGAAGTGCCTTGAGACGACTCTTGTCGTGATTTGGCGCTATATAAATAAACTGAATTGAAAATTATTATTACTGCTATTATTATTAAGTGAGTGAGCTGCCAGGCACACAGACTGGTCCAGGATCAGCAGACGTACCTGTCCTTTAGAGAGACTCTCCCATCTGTCTGGGCCCTGAGGCAGCAGTGAGTGAAGCAGCTCCATCCGTTCTCTCAGAGGAGGCAGCAACATGGTCGCCCCCACAGAAAGTGTCTCGATAACAGCCTAGTGGGATAACACAGTCAGCAGACTCGTACCACTTAAAAAGTTCATTCTCGATGAACCAGGAATCGTTTGGAACTGTAACCTTTGCAAAATATCAAATTAAAAGCCTCTCTAACTTTCAATTTTGTATTTATTAGATTAGAGTTTTTTTAACCAATAAACGAGAGCATAAATGCTGATTCATGAAAACTTCTTCTAAATGTTGTTCTGGTCCACTTTCTTCACCTTCTGATTGGGTTTGACACAGATGGTCCATGTAAAACATCTCACAGGTCCTAGTTAGGGTTATGATCCAGTAGAAAGTAAATCAGAGCAACTCTGCTTCTGGTACCTCCTGAATTTCATCTGGCACAGATGCATCCATCAACCTGAAGAGCAGATTCCTCAGCGGCCGGGCCTGTCGACCCAGAATACTTGTGGCCACGCCCCCTGCCAGGGCCAGAGCCAGGTGATTGGACAAAAGTCGAAGGCACAGCTTCAGGAAGTTGTGGTGTTCCCTGCACACACAGAAACGTTTTTACACTGAGGAGAATGAAAAGATTGGACCCATCAGTGCTGATAGCTGCACACCTGGAAGACGGGAAGGGAAGAGGGGGAACATCGCTGTTGATGCCATCACAATAGCGCTCCAGGAAAGAGCGCAGGTGAGAAAAGGTGCTTTCTTCCAGGTCGACACAGTAAGGCCGATGCCAGGCCACCACCTGCCTGCAGAGCCACAACAAATCCCGATCAGTAAGATAAAATCATCCATCCGTCACAGTGGATGATCCGATGAAGATCTCAGGTCCAGGTTCTGGTCTTTGGTTTGTGATCATCAGTGCAGAGCTTTATCCCCTTTAGGATCATTGATGACATGACCTCTCACCTGTCTCTGGGCAGGGCGGTCCAGGCCAGGCTGTGGGATGTCCCAGCTGAGATCTGCTGGATGGCGACTCCGTCCAGGCCGACCACCTTTTTGGGCTTGGTGATGGGTCCGGTGGAGTTCCCCTGACCACACTGACCCATGGAGTTGTTCCCCCATGCATAAACCTCATTGTCTGGAGGAACATGCAGAACAAATAATAAACACTCAGGTCAAACATTTATGTGGATTTCATGTTAACTGGTGCTGAAGCTAATGATTAGCTAAAACAAATGTTGAGTTATTACATCATCCTTCTTACAACACATCTACAAACACGATCGAACCGAGTCAGCACTTGAGCCCGAGTCCACCTTAACATGGCCTACGGTTACGAAAGCAAAAACCTGGAAATACCGTGAGACAGGGCCAGGCAGTGGCTGTCCCCGATGGAGATGTCCACCACTCGGGTCGTAGCCAGCTCCTCGATCAGTTTGGGTCTGAGTGCTGTAGCTTCGGAAGAACCACAGCCCAGACAGGCGCCGCAGCCCCAAGCAAACACCTGGGCCGACGCGGGAGACAAACATCAGAGACATTCACTTCACACATAATTCCACGGTTTGGGAAATTTAAACAATCATCCTGTATGATCATTCCTGGAGTCTAAATGATTGATGATGTCTGACGGCCGTTCCTTCCCGTCTAGAGGTTGATCTGACCCGTGAGACCAGGTCCAAACTCAGGGTGTGAAGTTTAACACAATTATAATTCTACTTGCTTTGGCTCCAAAGACAACAAAAACAATGCAATCGACAAAAACTTCACTTAAAGTTGTTTATCATATTTAGGGTTGTCACGGTAACCGGTATAGCGGTAAACCCCGGTAAAAAAGTTGACAATAAAAATAACCGTCCAGTTTTTAAAAAACTAAATTATCTCGGTGGGATTACCGTGGCTGCGGTTTCGGCGCGATGACCCTTACCAGCCACCGTCGCTTCAGCTGAAGTTCCCGCGGCGCGCACACGCACTTTTTAATTTGCAACGGCACCAAAACTTTGAAGCTGAAATAATGGCCGAAGGAGGAGACGGCAGCGCCCAGGACATCCATCAGCCCTCAGAGAAGACTAAATCGGAAGTATGGGCATATTTTGGATTTCTGAAAAATGCTGAGGGACAGTTAATAGAAGACTGCTATCCCGTTTGCAGAACGTGCAGGAAACAAGTGTCTGCAGAAGGCAGCAACACTTCGAATCTCATGGCACATCTGCGTGACCATCACCCACGTCTCTACAGCCAGTGCAAGGTAAGTTAACATTAGCATTTTAGCTTAAATGCATGACGTGAGGACTTTTGGTTGAAGGAGAATGCAACGAGTCACTATATACTGCAGCCGCAGCGTCCTCTGCCAGCATTTAAACCGTGTCACGGACACCCTGTTGCTGGATGAAGCATCTTATTTGTTGATGATGAAGAGAAATATACAATTAGTTCCTTGTCATTGATTTGTTTACTTATTCAATGCCATTTATACTTGAACATTTGGATTTGATTACATAGTGTAGTAGTTATTTTAGTAATTTGTTTAAAGTGGCTATTTATTTAAATACATATTTTTTAAGGTTGACTTGTACAGTGCTCAAGTCAAGTGTGGACTGGAGTTTTAGATTTTCATTTTGATAATGAAGAAAACAAGTATATGAGAAAACAAGTGGTGTTTCTTTGATTTGTTTACATATTGTTTATGTTTTGAATGTTTGGATTTGTATCATTTAAACCTGCACTGACTACTGTAACATGTTCCAGAAAAATAAGCTATTTGTTCCTTTACTTGTGAAAAGTTGCACTTTTGCTAAGGCTTTGTGTTATTTTGGGTTTAATAAACACTGTTAAACCTTTTCCAAACTATTTCAGTTTGTGTAGAACAGGACTATCAATGCTTTCTGAACATATGCAACACCGTTTACAAAATACCGCGATAATACCGAAAACCGTGATAATTTTGGTCACAATAACCGTGAGGTTAAATATTCATACCGTGACAACCCTAATCATATTCCATAGATTTTGTCTCGACCTTCAGGTGACATTGAGCCCGTTGATTTCCTTGTTGTGGAAAATGCAGGCGACGTTACTAGCTGCATGTGATCGAACACATCTGGAATTTTACACGCTTTACCAAACAGCTGTGAGGAAATACAGGAGTTAGTGCTTCGGCTGAGGTGGACGGTGGATCCTACCTGTCCGGTGGAGGTCAGAGCCAGAGAAGACTGGCTTCCTGCACACACCTTCCTGATGAACATCCCCTGCAGGGCTTCCACCACTTTGGGCTTGTAGACCCGATTAGTATCACCATGTCCAAGTTTTCCTAGAGGACACAACATGTACTTTAATCAGAAAACTTGGAGATTACATCTTGAAATGGTTTCCACGTTAACCGACAGGTCACACGGAGGGTTGACCAACCGTTGTCTCCTCCTCCAAAGGACCACACGGTGCGTCCGTCCTTGGACAGGGCGATGGTGTGGGAGCTTCCACATGAAACCTCTCCAACATTACTGATGTCTTTGACCAGAGTTGGAATGTTGCGGCTGTTGCTGTCGCCGTGTCCTACGATCACACACACACGCACGCACGCACACACACACACACACAGAATAAAATACAGCAATCTCACTAAACCCGGAGTAAGTCTAAGGTCCAGTAAGAGACTCTGGGGATAATTTCTGATTAGTCAGTATCGTACCTGCAGCAGAAAACAGTCAGATGGCTGCAGCTGCTGCAGGTAAGATACTGAGCTGATTCACCAATCAGATGTTTCTAGTTTTGGAGTTTTGCATCGGGATAATATTGGAGAGTAAAACAGGTTATTGTGACTGAAGCTGGAGTAAACGTACCTAACCGTCCAAAGTCTCCTTCACCCCAGGTGTACAGCTCTCCATCCTCGCTGACTGCAGCACTGTGTCTATAGCCAGCAGACACACACACAACCACCTAACATGCATGCATGCACACACACACACACACACACACACACACACACACACAGAGGAAACGATCAGGACTATAAACATAACCCAGCAGCATCAGCTGAGTTCCTCTCCACCTGGATTCTAAATATCAAAGGTGTTTCCAGGTGACATCTACCTTCCCCTGCAGTGGCCCCTGGATGAGTTTGGGGTACTTCTGAGTTGAGCTGTTCCCGTGACCCAGTTTCCCATAATCACCGTCACCCCAGCTGAACACCTCGCCCTCTGTGGTGAAGGCCAGCGTGTGGCCGTCAGAGCCCTTAGACGACGACACCTTCTTGATGGCTCGATGGGGTTCAAAGGTCAGCTTCTTGAGAGTCGACTGGTTGTTAGAGTCTCCGAGGCCCAGCCGGCCGTAGCTGCCCTTCCCGCAGGCCCGAACTGAACCATCAGAGGAGATAACAAAGGTGCAGTACTGACCCGCCTCAATCTGCAGAAACAAGAAAGGTTTAAAAGCTTTGAAAGTCAGAAAAACCACCTAAAGTACCCAGAACAGTTGTCAGGCCATGATGGTCGTCAGTCCAGAACTCCTGATCCAGTCTTCATCTCTTTTTATTTTCCTTCCCAGCCACTCCCAATAATCAGACCTATTGAATGTCTTTGGCTGATGTTCCTCCCAGTTCCTGTTCTCCCAGGTTGGGTTTAAGTCTTTGCTGGACTTGCTCCTGCTTCAGATCAACTCCCATAAACATTTAATGTCCAGATGAACATCATGTAGGTGTTGGAGTTCCAACCAAAGCTGAGATGAAAACCAGACAACGTCTAAAGGGAAACTGTTGAAGAAACAAACTTAAAAAACAATATGCTAAATTTCCACTGGAATCGTTCTAAACTGGAACGTAGAACACCTCTGAAACAGAGCAGGGGCAATGAAGTGTAGTTTGTATGAAAATTTTGTCAAATTTAGATACAAAGTGTCTTAATGACATCACATTTTATTCAGAAATTTGGTCTCTAACTCCTCTTAGAGTTGTCTCACATTATTTTCTAAATGACTGCTGTGAGAGCATGCTGACAGAATGTTTCCTGCCTAAATATCTTCAAAACTCCAGTAAAAGGACAGTGAGGAAAACTCTTGGGGGGGGGGGGGGGGGGGGGGGGGGGTGTTTGAGGAAACTCCCTACAGAATGCTGTCCTGTATAAGTCATTAACAGCTCAGTGCGATACTGGCTCTGGAAAACAAAACGCTGAGTGTGAAGAACATGAGTGGAAGGAGCTCTTCCTCGTACCGTCTGAGCATCAGTGAAGCTGGCGGCCAGCTTCGGCTGCAGGATCTTCTCCTGAGTTCCCTCCACCAGCTGGTGACTGCTGTTGCTGCCCCACACGTAAACCTCACAGGTCTCAGAAACCACCGGAGCCTCGCCGGTCTGAATGCTGTCGGGGCTGACGCAGGTACGAGAGTAGACTGATGCCATTCGACACACCTGGAAGGACATGGTTTTACTTAGTCAGCCCCCCCGAGAGCCTTTACAACAGTCATTCACCCATTCACACACTGGTGATGACGAGCTGTGTACAAAATGAACAAAGTAATGGATTACTTCATAGTTTACCTGCTATGTCCTCATTTTTTTTCAAGGTGCGCTGAACGCATCATTTAGTGTTTGTTATGGTGCGCAGCCGCCGTTAGATAAACCATTCTAGAACATACTAGCCAAAGTGCTTCCTCTCTTAACTTGCCAAAATAAAAGAAACTTCCTGAAAGCCACAAACTGCAGACTGTTGCAGTTTGCACACATGGAGTCAGTGACAAGGTCTCTGCCGCAGAAGCATTTTAATCGATCTGTGCACCGGAAGCTTTAAGCGAGGTAATTTACAATAATTCCTTATTCTAACTGCATTGTTGGTTCATTTTTATAACACAGAAAGGGTTTCTTTTGCCTTGCTGACAGTTTCGTTCGCGGCAGCAAACTTCCTCAGAGCTGACGCTGATGGTGGCGTCACTTCCTACTCCGTTTATCCGCGGGCAGTAGAGGACGTTGTCGCCCTCTGCTGCCCACTCTCTCCTCTCCGATGATGCAGCCCCATGCACGATCCAATGTGTAGACCCCATCGTCTCTGTTCATGGTCTCACATCCACGTCTCCTTATCTCTATAGCTTCCTTTATCCATCTTTTGTATTTCTGTTGTTCGGTGTTTATGACCCTTGTGTCGTCCCAGTCCATTACATGGTTTTCTCTTGTGCCGTGATCTGTTACGGCTGACTTCTTTATCATACTTCCTGCTTCTTCTTTTGCTGCTCTTGTGTGTTTTCGACTTGTTTCTTTCTCACACTCCTTTCTATGTTCTATTGTTCGTGTGGTGAGTTGGCGTCCGGTTTCTCCTACGTATGTTTTATTGCAGAGTTTGCATGGAATTTCGTAAACGACTCCACATTTATGTCCTGCTGGTCCATAGGACATAAGGACAACGTCCTCTGCTGCCCACAGATAAACGGAGTAGGAAGTGACACCACCATCAGCGTCAGCTCTGAGGAAATTTGCAGCCGCGAACGAAACTGTCAGCAAGGTAAAAATAAACCTTTTCTGTGTTTTAAAAAAGAACCAACAATGCAGTTAGAAAAGCAACACAGCAAGAACATACCAAAGAAATTCCTTATTATTGTAACATTTGTGCAGAACTAAAAACAGCAGGCAGAATAACATTTTGTCCATAAATAGTGGTGAATCAGAGAAATCCAGCAAACAGCTGAGATAAACACACATCTCTAGAGTTCACTTCCACTCTCCTCTAGGCCTGGGATGATAACAAATTTAGCTGGACGATATATTGTCCAACAAATTATTGATGATTAACGATATTATTCTCGACATTATCAAGACCAAAATAACCACTTATGTAATGCTAATATATAATAATAATGCAAGTAAACCCTTTAAAATGCAACAATTAAACCTTTACTTAAAGGGACTTTATGGAGTTTTGAATTGATATGCTCGCGATTGCCCCCTCAGGACAAAAGCGTAACGGCAGCTTCAATAGTAGGCTCGTGCACGAGGCAGCTGAGACAGTCGTCCGTCCGTCCGTGCGTGCGTGCGTGTGTGTGTGTGTGTGTGTGTGTGTGTGGGGCCCGGAGGACAGAGGACAGGAGAACGCGCAGCTAATTAATTAAATAATTTTGTTCTGTACCTTTCTCTTCAGCACAGCTGACAAAGGTTTATGATGGGTCAGTCCTCCTGCATGCTCAGATCATTCCCTTCCCTTGCTTGACAAATTGTTCCAAAATGAAAGTTGAACCCACATCTTTTTTATCTGTGAATTCAATGCCGTTCGGCGAGTCTCAAATAAAAATTTGGGCATCTTACTGTAAAAAAATATACCATTAATGTAAAAAAAAGAAATTCTAAATGAACTATATTCACACCCAGAATCGAACCCAGGTCTTCTGCACGAGAGTCTGACGTCTTACTAGGGGAGCTACAGCACCAGTGATGTCCTTTGTATCTGTAACATTTATATCCTTGATGACAGCTGAAACAACGTTCAAAGAACGGTTCAGAGCGAAAATGGCTATTTTGTTGCTAATTTGCAGGAAATATCTAGAAGAAAGTTCTACAGAAAGTAGCTAAGGGTCCTCAGAAATGTAGCTAGCTTTGTCACTAGGCGTTAGGAACAGCGACAAAGTGGCACTGCCTCTCTCTCTGCTGCTAAAGCTACGGATAGCAAATGCTACGGGCTAAGCCTGAGCGTGAACGCACATGAAGCAGCCTGCTCGACCCGAGCATCTCTCTTTTTCTGTGATTTTACAGAAAAACAGGCAATCACAGTAAAAATGCCAGGACTCATTCTACAGGACCAGGGCATTGCAGGAGAATGTATGAAGAAGACATTTATTATTTCTATACATGTTTTGGCTGTCAAACTTCCATAATGTCCCTTTAACACTGGAATGTCCAGAACCAAAACTTATAAATAAAAAAATAAATACAAAAGGACTTTCACTCTCTGTTAGAAAATATTGCACCAAAAACAATAAAATAGACCCTTTCTCTCCAAAACAATAAATACAATGGCCTATCTACTGTCAACAACCAAAATTGTACTTTGATAATGATAATAACTAATTATAACAGAGCTTTACATTTCTTAACCCCGAAATATTGAGGCTGGAAAAATTAACGAGTGCATTTTCATCTATCGTACGATTGATTGTTAATTATCGTCCCAGTCCTACTCTCCTCTCAAAGGAACGGAAACATTAGGCTACATCGGCTTTTATAAAAGCCCCTTGTGGGTTATTAAATATTTTCAGACGTTTACGGTTTTTCATATTAATTCCTAATTAATTATATGACGAACTCCGATGATTTTCTGATTCTGTTGGTTAATTCTTCTGAGTGACTGAGTGACCTTTTAAACCTCTTGAAATTTTTTTGCATTTTGTAGAAATTCAAACTGATGGTCCTGTTTTCAAACTAGCTCAACAGAGTATTGTAGCATCAAAAATATATATATAACATGTAAATATCAGAGTCTTCAAAAGCACTGACGAAGAGCATTTTCTTTTCACGATGAACAAATTGATGAATCAAAAAGAAAAGAAAATCAAACATCCGTCGCAGAGAAAGAGAGAAGGGAAAAAGTAAAGGTGGTGATGTTTAAAAACCAGTTCAAGATAAATCATGAATTGTATCGAATCCAATAATTAACTATCATCAGCAGGGATGAATCGTTTTGAATCATATCGACAGAGGGTTTCACCGTATCGTTAGCATATCGAGATGTGAATCGATTCGGCTTCAGGCGGGATTCACGTCCCCAAGCCTCAAAATTTTCAGATTTTGAACCAAAAAAAGTTTAAAAATGGCTTTAATTTCAATTCAATTCAATTTTATTTATAAAGCGCCAAACCACGACAAGAGTCATCTCAAGGCACTTCACATAATAAACATTCCAATTCGGGTCAGTTCATTAAGCCAATCAGAAAAAATGTTTCCTATATAAGGAACCCAGCAAATTGCATCTTTACATCTTTGCTTTACAGCGATCCTCATAATAAGCAAGCATACAGCGACAGTGGAGAGGAAAACTTCCTTTTAACAGGAAGAAACCTCCAGAGGATCCTGGCTCAGTATAAGCAGCCATCCTCCACGACTCACTGGGGATGGAGAAGACAGAGCACACACGTACGCACGCACGCACGCACGCACACACATAAACACACACACAGAGGAGATAATATACATCATTCACATGTCTAATAATGATTGTAGAGTTTTCCTGTGAAAGCATCATAATTATATATGTGTGTTAACGAGGTAGTGCCTTTCGTAGCATTTTGTAAGCTAAACCGTAATTTGTTATGAGTGATTATTTATCATTAGTTTGAGTTCAGGTTAATTACGTACGGTGAAATGTGTTATAAGTTTGTACATGATGTAAATATTTACTGCTCATATTGGCTTGCCAAACTTTAGTGCACATGCGCAGAGCCTAGGTTTTGTTAGTCGTCTGATGGTCAGGGTTGAGATGCAGCGCCGGTGAGTACGATAGTTGCTTGTATTGTTAGTTAGTCATTTCTTTTGTTAATACGTGTGCCCGTGTGTGTGTCTGTTTCATTGCAGGTTTACAACCTAATCACTAGTCGCTACTAGGGTTGTCACGGTATGAAAATTTAACCTCACGGTTATTGTGACCAAAATTATCACGGTTTTCGGTATTATCGCGGTATTTTTTAAACGGTGTTGCATATGTTCAGAAAGCATTGATAGTCCTGTTCTACACAAACTGAAATAGTTCTGAAAAGGTTTAACAGTGTTTATTAAACCTAAAATAACATAAAGCCTTAGCAAAAGTGCAACTTTTCACAAGTAAAGGAACAAATAGCTTATTTTTCTGGAACTTGTTACAGTAGTCAGTGCAGGTTTAAATTATACAAATCCAAACATTCAAAACATAAACAATATGTAAACAAATCAAAGAAACACCACTTGTTTTCTCATATACTTGTTTTCTTCATTATCAAAATGAAAATCTAAAACTCCAGTCCACACTTGACTTGAGCACTGTACAAGTCAACCTTAAAAAATATGTATTTAAAATAAATATCCACTTTAAACAAATTACTAAAATAACTACTACACTATGTAATCAAATCCAAATGTTCAAGTATAAATGGCATTGAATAAGTAAACAAATCCATGACAAGGAACTAATTGTATATTTCTCTTCATCATCAACAAATAAGATGCTTCATCCAGCAACAGGGTGTCCGTGACACGGTTTAAATGCTGGCAGAGGACGCTGCGGCTGCAGTATATAGTGACTCGTTGCATTCTCCTTCAACCAAAAGTCCTCACGTCATGCATTTCAGCTAAAATGCTAATGTTATCTTACCTTGCACTGGCTGTGGAGACGTGGGTGATCGTCACGCAGATGTGCCATGAGATTTGAAGTGTTGCTGCCTTCTGCAGACACTTGTTTCCTGCACGTTCTGCAAACGGGATAGCCGTCTTCTATTAACTGTCCCTCAGCATTTTTCAGAAATCCCAAATATGCCCATACTTCCGATTTAGTCTTCTTTGAGGGCTGATGGATGTCCTGGGCGCTGCCGTCTCCTCCTTCGGCCATTATTTCAGCTTCAAAGTTTTGGTGCCGTTGCAAATTAAAAAGTGCGTGTGCGCGCCGCGGGAACTTCAGCTGAAGCGACGGTGGCTGGTAAGGGTCATCGCGCCGAAACCGCGGCCACGGTAAACCCACCGAGATAATATAGTTTTTTAAAAACTGGACGGTTATTTTTATTGTCAACTTTTTTACAGGGGTTTACCGCTATACCGGTTACCGTGACAACCCTAGTCGCTACCAATATTTGCTATTAAAGCTAATTTGAGACATGAATCGAGGACGCAACTGTTGTGCTAAAAGGGGGTAGCGAGACCTTGGGCTGCTACGGCGAAGCATATGTTGTATCTTGTCCTGTCGAACGTCAGTAAAGGAGTGACCAAGATTGAGCTGTGCCCGCTATACTCTCCCTGACGTCCCTTTCAGTTGGGGACATCTTCTCACTATAGCAGGTAGCTGGTAAGATAACTGAACAATGATAAAGGCAGCTTTAGTGTTGTACCTCCTCAAACAGACACAGAGCTGCTTCATACAAAGAGCAGAGACCATCAGGAGTCCGGGTGGGTTCTCGCCACTGGCTCCGATCCGCTGAAGAGCCCTGATACACACAGACACACACATAAAGATCAGTGCTGGTACCACACAAATTAATAATAAACTCCTCAGGACGAATGGATTTATCAGCAGCAGGAATCACCTCCTCCCCTGACAGATAACTCACCAGAGAGCGTCTCATCTGCAGAAGGATGTTCATGAAGCAGTCATAGCCGACCAGGCCCTCTTGGTTCTGCAGAACTAGGTTCTGCTCCATGGCACTGACCACAGCAGAGGCAGCTAAGGCCATCTCGATCCACTCCAACAGGTAGCGCAGTGACCCTCTCTGTGAAGCCAAGCCCAGCAGCAGCTCTGAGGCTAGCCGGCGGCCAAAAATATCCACCCCGGAGTTTGGCATGGTCACCCCCTTCAGGAAGGTTGTGACCTGGGCCAAGCAGTCCAGACCCATTGGGGGGATCTTGCTCTCGTTGGCCAGAGAAAGGGGCGGCAGGGAGCTGACCACATCGATGGCTGTGTGAATCACATCATTGCATAAGTTTATGTTGCCCCCGGGACCTCCACTGGAACTGGGAGGAGGGGGCATCAACCAGCTCTGGCGAAGCAAAGCAAACAGAAGGCTGAGGCCGGTCCGGACACCCATCTCAATGAGGGCATCAGTGCTGGAGCGCGGCCGCTCGCTAACAGAGTGCAGGTCCGCGGAGCCAGAGCTGTTCTCCGGAGAGTGCTGCTGCTGCTTGACCTTCCCTTTGTCGTGGTACTTGTTGGAGAGGGCGTAGAAGATGCGTTGTAGCACCAGAACGCGTTTCCGCAAGGCAGCAGCGAACGGAGAATCAGAGCAGACCATCTTGGCCAAGGCCAGCTGGCTGCTGAGCAGAGCATCCAGATAGTGCTCCTGCTCATCGCTGGAGAGGGACTCACGCTCGAAGTCTGGGAGCTGGGGGCCCTTCAGGCACAGGACCTGCTGGGGAAGCAGCACCGCCTCTTTGTTGGCCAGTAGCTTGGAGTAAAGCACGGACACGCCCTCCCGCGTGGCAATGGACTCGCTGTCCTCCGTGATCCATGAGCTGTTCAGGTGCTCCAGCCATTTGAGCTTCACCGGCGGAATCATTAAAGCCATGACATGTTACTCTGGAGCCATCAGTCCTGAAATGGAAACAGGAAATGACTCATTTCAAATGAGTCTTCATAAACATACTGAACAGAAAGTTAGTTAGATCTGGGATGCATAAAAGCTGCCCTTTGGTCTGAGTCTCTGTGTGGAAAGCAGGGCGACACAAACGGGTTAAAGCTCTGGTTTAGTTTGTGTTTGAGTATAAAAAGCTAAACATATAGTTAGTATTATCTGAGTTACCGCATTTATCTGATCAGCTGTGAATCTGGAAAACCAAAGTTTTAATCTAAGATTCTGTAACACTGGTGTTTATAAGATAAAGAGGATTTAATGGGTTGACTGGGTAATGTAGGATCTGTATCTCACTAAGGTGATCATTGGGTTTAACCGAATAAAAACCAAGACGACTGTTGGATCTAGTAAACATGTACGGTTGATGAATTAGATGAGAAGGAATGGAGAACATCAGCTGTTTTAAGAACAAAACAAAAAGTTCCTGATAGATCAGGCCCTCACAACAAGTGGTGCTCGCTGCAGAACCACAAAGGCGGAGCTGCACCAGAAGGTGGAGCTGCACCAGAGTCAGCCCCACCCATTCCAGAATCAGCCCCGCCCATTCTATCAGAGTCAGTCCAATTCCTTCCAGTTGTCAGACTTTATAGCATTCTGGAACCAAAGAGGGTGTTATAGCTAAAAAATGCAGGATTGGGGACGGAGTTGAGAAGTGAATTGAACAGTTTTTGTAAAGGTTCCATATAATTAAAAATCTAACTTTTGGAACTTTTAATCATGTTATATTGTCATTTCCTCATACGAAACACGCCAAAGCCATGTTTGGCCTCATTCATGCAGTTTCTTCCCATCTCAGCTTCAATTTGGTCTCCTCCCACGAAGCGGGTCTGGTCTTGGTTCTCAAATCTGGATATTCTGTGAATTTTCTGACAAATTATTTCTGAAATGACTTCTACTGAGACACCGCCAGAAAAATCATACATCCCGTCTACAAAGACACACTGGATGGCACAATAACATGCAACGCCACACAAGTATTATAAGATGTGGTGGTGTAGTGGTTCTGGTGTCAGGTTGACATGCAGTTTTGCGCAGGTTCGCCTCCCAGTAGTGTAAATATTCTATAACCCCTTTTCCTCATTTCTAGCTACACTTGCCAGTACTATGTTTACAACAATTTATTGGTATGCCGTTTAACATATAATGACTAATGTGTTTTTTTATTTATTCATTCGTTTATTTAGCCAGTGTGAGTCCATTTGTGAGCAGAGTTTCAACTAAAATGCTGTTTAGGAACGACCAAATTCAAAGAACTTGTAGAGACATAAATATTTTGCTGAAAATGAACATTACAACTAAAATATGAACAAATTAAATGTTTCAGCTGGCAAAATAGATTGTTGCCGACCCCACCGAGAACCGAACCAGCATCAGCTGAGCGGAAAGCAAAACTTAAGTCAAACAATCTTGCCACTGGACTACCAGAACTCACATAATAATGTCAAATGTTGTTGTACAGGACTTTTGTTGGAGCGGCTGTGGGCAGATATTCGCTAAAAGAAACCTTTTCATTTCGGGATATATTCAGACTTTGTCATGTAGCAAGTTATATTTATCTTGTTTAATTGGAGCACAGAACATAGCATTAACGACTGTAAACTAGTAACAGCCGTAATTCATGAGAGTCAGGTTAGTTTGCGATAAAGTTGAAAACAAAAACGGAAGTCAGTGGGCTAGGCTGAGTTTGCGTGAATGGGCGGGGCTGACTCTGGTGCAGCTCCACCTTATGGTGCAGCTCCGCCTTTGTAGTTCTGCAGCGAGCACCCTCTCCCTCACAATGAAACCTCCAAACCAACAAAAACACACAGGACTAGTAAAAGAGGTTGACTGACCAATCACAGAGCAAAATCAAACCTACCTGACGACCCCCTACTGGAGCTCTGACTGACTGGTTACATGGAGGTTAAGATTCTATAACCAATAACACCAGAAGCCAGCCCTGAACTCGATTGACTGGTTAGGACATTAATATAGGACAGTTTTATTAACTGCCTAAATGTGTGTAAGTGCTGCTGCTACACTGCAATTTATTGATCCCACCCTGGGATCAATAAAGTACACCCACCCACCTATCCACCTACCTACCTACCTACCTAGTAATTGCATATGCAATTAAATTGCGATGTGACAAAAGGTGATTTTCTAATCGCAAAGGCTGCGACTTGACTGGCTGCGAGTGGTTAGCCAAATGCTAATATACATTGAAAAAGCCATAGGGATGCTAATGCTAATATTCCCGATTACATTCTTACAAATTACGAATTAGGAACGTGCCAGATGATTACATTTGGAGTCTTAATAAAAAGTAAATCTGCCATTAATCAAATAAATACAGACAGATATTTTAGTAAAGCTAGAAAACTGTAAGATACTTTTAACTCCACTGAGTTTTGGCTAGCAGCTATGAACGTAACTGAACTACGGAAGCTCTGCATGGACAAGACGTCAAAAACTCTAAACACAAAATACTTCAGTAAATGGGACATACTTCTTTCCTGCAATCAATTTTCACAATTGATGCTAATACCTATGCTCCTTCAAGGGATGTGCTGCTGGCTGCAAAGCGTTGCACCTTCAAATGCAAAATGTTGTCCACTTGTGAGTGTTTATGTATGTGTAGACAAATAAACTTGTTGATATGACACATAGATAAATATGTAGATATATAAACTTGCTTATATTCAGTAAAAGTTACATAGATTTTTTTCTTTGCTTCTGTTAGTTGAAAAATGAGAAAAGCCCCTTTAGAAAATAATCGTGAATTAAATCGCAATCGCAATATTGAAGAAATAAATCGTAATTTGATTATTTTCCAAAATTGTTCAGCCCTACTACCTGCCTGCCATCATCTATCTATCTATCCATCTATCCATCTATCAATCCATCCATCCATCCATCCATCCATGATAAGAAAATAGATTTACTGTCTGTTGAATTATTGCTATTTCCACGCCAAATACAGTCACGAAACTTACTCTAGAAACCGGAGCAGAGACACACATTAGGTTGGATCTAAAGTCCCATTATTCATCACACAGCGGTGAAATTCCCCTCCGCATTTGAACTATCTCCACAGGGAACGGTGAGATGCAGCTGTGGCCGCGCTCGGGAACTATTTCAATTCAATTCAATTCTATTCAAATTCAAAATACTTTATTAATCCCAGAGGGAAACTGATCGGTGGCTGATTTGGTGGTTTAAGTCCCCAATCCAACCCTTTAAAGCTGAGTGTCAAGCAGGGAGGCATTGGGTCCCTCCCAATTTTATAGTCTTTGGTGTGACCCGACCGGGATATGAACTCCGACCTCCCAGTCCCAGGGCGGGTCTACGGTTCAACGGAAGGCTCAGGGGGAGAGGGTTCCAGAGTCTGGGGGCCACAGCAGCAAATGATCTGTCACCTTTGGTCTTTAGCCTGGTGCTGCACAACCAATAGGCTTTGGACACTGGACCTCAGGGACCTGCTGGGGGTGTAGGGACTATGTTTTTCCTTACAGAATGCCGCTGAGATCAACTCTAAATGATGTGGGTTGTTCTTCTGTTCCAACAGAAAAACGGCTCTTGTGGGAGGTTTCGTTCCAGTGCTTTGGGGGGTCCAGTCCAGCCTGATACACTCTGAACTACATAGAAACAGGAACTAAATAGTAAGCGTCAACAATGAACCTGCTACTGATAGAAAGGCCAATCAGCCAGACTGAATGGATTCATGCCAAGTAGGGCTGTTGGAAAACCCCTATTAGAAGATTCTCCTGCGATGTCAGACAGGTGAGTGTGAAGCTAAGGAGTCACACAGGTCATGGAGCGATAACTGGCCCTGATCGAGTCCTACTCTCATCTGTTCTTCTTTTGTTCTGCTGTTCTTTTAGATTTTTTAAGTCTTTGATGCCAAATAAATAATTACCACTGATTAACAGATTAATTTAATTTCAGAGGCTACATGACATAATAATGGAGGTGTGACTAGTTCCTTGCAGCGTTCAGCAGCAACGACTGACCTGAAACAACAGAAATGCTGCTAATGTTTGTATGAAACAGTAAACTCATGGAAACAGCTCACTGCTCCTGTACTGGTGGGAGCATGATTTAAACGAGGAATGAATATGTCAGAATGATCCCTTGCGGTTGAAAAAAATGTGTATAATTTAATGTTGTAAAAACACACCATCAGCAGCAGCAGCCAACTCGAACCATACACACACACTCACTAAAATAGTTTAATATTTTACTGCTACATAAACAACAGGCAACGACAGCTTAGTGTTCTCCCATTTGCTACAGGAAGCACTCATCTGTTTGGCCAGCTCCACTCATTAACCAGCCATTATGGTTCCGTTTAAGATCAAAACGTAGCCTGTTACATTTTCAAAGGTTTCTCTGAATACCTGAGGGAACTTGCGTGACTGTCCTGAAATGTAAACTTGAATTTGGTTGAAGTGTTTTAATCTGCTGCTAAAAACTTGAGTTAATACATTACAGAGTACAATACAGAGGTACTACACACTCTTAACTGTGTTGTTCCACCTACAGATCAAAACTCCTCGCAAGTTGCCCCTAATAGTAAAGGTACGGTAGCTCAGAAGGGTCAACCAAACACAAAACAAACATGAAAAAACTACAATTGATGTGAACTGGTCCTTAGAGCCATGGTCCCAAACACAGGGTATCTGCAGGCTTAAGGGAGCCAAATTTAAGCCTTTTTAAGACCTTTTTAAGGCCACTTTGACCAAATTTAAGCTATTTTTTTAAATTAAATTTAAGATATAATTTCCAGCTATTGCCTGGAACCGGTGCTAACTTCGTCACAAACATGGGATTAGCCATCCAGTTACCATTAAACTTGCACTTCCCCATGGCGCAAGCTCCCACTAGCTTAACCAGCTAATGTGCTCATCTAAAAATGGACCCCTTTCACAACCAACGGAATGTGTATGGTTCCGCTTATGCCAATATCATACACAACAAATGCTGAACACTAACTAGAAATTCACCAAATTGTATAGAAGCAAAAGAATCTTGTTTATTGGGTCTTCGGTAATTTTAGACCTTTGGAAATTGTATTTAAGGATTATTAGTCATTTTTAAGGATTTTTAAATTTGGAAAAGCAAATTTAAGACTTTTTAAGACTTTTTAAGGACCCGCGGATACCCTGCAAACATATTTACTTATGTTTTTGGCATGATCAACATACATAACTTATTTTTTAGAAGAAGTTCTGGTTCACGATAACTTTTACTTTAAAGAGCAAGTCACCCCCCTACCAGAGTCTTACTCCACTCCCACTTCCTGTTTGAAAAAAGCAAAAAATGCTGTTGCCTGGTGGAGCCGCAAAAAAATACGCATGCGCACACGCACGCACACACACACACACACACACAGGTTCACAATGACATTGTGACATCATAATATACCAGCTAACATCATAGTGTACCTCTTAGCCAATAGCGATGGCAAATTCTAATTCAAATGCAGTGCAGAGTTTTTACCTGAAGACACACAACACTGACAGTTTTAGGCAAAATATTTAAATTTGAACTAAAATGCACTAAAGTGCCACATTATTGACTACGCGTGTCTACAACATGATTAGACATTTATATAGTATATCAGCAAAAAAAAGTAAGTTGATTTGGGGGGGACTTGCTATTTAAGCTGTTATATTTAATTTTATTATTTCTATTTTATTATTAATTCTCTTGTTTTTGCCGTTGTGTTTCAGCTTTTGTTGACACTTCTGGGCTACCATCTAAAAGTGAGTAATCAGATTTTCAGTATCAAGAAGGATCATTACAACAAACAGTCATATTTCAAAGTTTGTGTCACCAATTGACCTTAAAGGTCTCAGCTGTAATGTTTTGACTAACTGCAGCACACACACACACCCACACCCACACCCACACACACACCCACACAAAGTCCGTGATTAATACGAACCTTTGTGTTGTCAGATATTTTGTGTTATTTGTGATTGACAGGAGCCGAGAGGAACCTGCTGACAGGGTGATTATGTAACAACAGTCAGAGCTTCTAACTTTTACAGATATAACGACCTTTTAAACACATTCACAGCACATTTATAAATGATCCTTTAAATAACATTTAATTGATATTTGACGCCTATTTTAACTACAAGCACGAATCTCATCATAAGAACCCCTTTAGCATGCTAGACGAGTAGCTAACAAGAGTAGAGTGTGGCTCCCCCGCCGCTCACACCGGCTCGGTTCTGGTTCCGACCCATGACCAGTGGTTCCTACTCAGACGAGCTAGCATAAACGTGACAGCTCAGTGCGATGGTGGTGAATCTCACATCACAGTTACACCGTTTCACTAACGTTTATTACTGCCAGGGCTTCTGTTGGTTTGTTGGCACTTTGATTAAATACGGAACAAAAACAGACGGAGCACCAACCGAAGCTGCTAACCTTTAGCTAGCTGCCTGATATGAAACTGTTGAGCAAATAAATAAATAATTAAAAATAACCCAACAGAGGTGACATCTTTCAGTGTCAGAAGCAATTATCATTAATCTCCGGTACCGGCATGCACACCGGTCCAAACGGTCCCGTTTTCCAGCAGCAGGGCGTTTTCGGTTAGTGAGTTAGCATGTTTATCTGCTGCATCACAGCACCGAGCGGAATAGCGGCTAGCTGTCCGGATAAAGCTCACTTACCGCTAATAAAAGGCCTCCTCTTCCTCCTTTCTGAGCGAAGTTTACACAACCAACCAGCTGGGCTTCAACCCCCAGTCGCAGCGGCTCTCAGACGGTCAACGCAGACACAGACAGCCGGGTGCTTCCATCATCTCCACCCGCCTCTCCACTAGCTTCCAGCGCAGTGACTTCGCTCCGTCCCGCGGCCCCTGGCAGAGCCCCAGCCCCGGGCCGTGACGCTGCTCCAGCCTGTCTCTCGCTCCCTGCTAGTTGTCTGACCCTCCGACTCTCTAATCATAAACACCGAGCACTCGGTCAGACATTCTGCTGACAGGACTTGACCAAAACATGCAGCAAAACTTAATTTAGTTCATTTATGGATCTCTGGAAGCACAGAAAATAAAGCTAATATTCGTTTAACCGGGGAAGTGTTGAGAGCTTTGTACTGGAGATACCAACACAGGTCCAGGGTTGGATCAGCTGGTCACTTAGCGTTTTTCGGTTAGGACTGAGAAACTCCTCTGGCTGAGAGACTGAGGCCAGAGGAGTTTCTCAGTCCTAACCGGAAAAGGGGTGTTCTCTCAGTCCTCTATTATTCATTATATTTATAGAAACGGCAGCTGTGAGTATTAGGTCAAATAGTGATATTAAAGGTATAAGAACGGAACACAAATTACTTCTTTATGCAGACGATATTCTAGCAACCATAACTAATCCACTTACATGTTTACCATATTTAATGGACTCTCTAGAATCCTACTCAAAAGTTTCTGGATATACAATTAATTCGTCCAAGTCTGAGGCTATGCCATTGTCGGGTCTGTGCTATTCACATATGGTGGAGAAATTTAAATTTAAATGGACACCTAAAGGCATGAAATATTTGGGGATTAAATTATGCCAAGAGCTAGGTGAACTGCCTTCACTAAATTTGAACCCAGTGTTGTCAAAAATCAAAACAAGTTTTGAAAAGTGGGAGGCATTAAAATTGACTTTGTGGGGCAAAATTAATATTATTAAAATGATTATAGCACCCCAGCTCAATTATATGCTCATAATGTTACCTATTTCTATTCCTCAGGACTTTTTTAAAAGGTATGAAAATTTGGTTAAACATTTCTTGTGGGAGGGTAAAAGAGCAAGAATAAAAATGGAGAAATTGTATGCCCCCAGAGAGAAAGGTGGATTGGGACTTTTGGACCCAAAGCTCTATTACCTATCATTTGAAATGGCAGAACTAGTTAAATACTGGGAGGATGGTAAAGAAAAACAAGAATGGTTAAATATTGAGTTTGATATCTGTTCACCATTTGATCCAAAACACAAATTGTCTAAAAAAATAAATACAACTAATCCGGTTATTATTCACTCTTGTGAGGTTTGGTCAAAGGTACATAAAATGTTGAAGCTTATTATGTCCAGAAGTATGCGTCTCTTTGGAATAACCCTGCTATATGTATTGGTAAAGTACTGGTGTTTTGGGGACAGTGGCACTCACGTGGTATATGTAAATTGGAGATCTGTATAAAGATGGAAACTTTATGTCTTGCGAGGATCTGCACAAGCCTGTGTGTTTTCTTTTGTTTTTGTATGTTCTCTGAAAATAATGAAAACTTTAATTATTTAAAAAAAAGAAACTCCTCTGGCAAGAAGTAAAGAAGCCTTACGCTGTTTTCAAAAGGCTCCAAATGTAAGAACCAATAACTGTTCCTTTCTCAGGCTACAGTTTTAATGGGTAAATATAACAGTTTCTGGCACCAACTTTCTCCTGATCTGTTTATGTATGAAAGGAGGAAAGAGAACTAAAGTAACAGAAACGTTAAAGCTGCTGCCAGTGGCTCATTAGGATCACTACAGTAACCACCAGTGACTTTAGGTTCACCATGATGACCACCAGTAGCTTATTAAGAAAGCATTTTGCATGTAAAACTCAATAAACAACAAAATGTAAAATGTACAGAAGTGACTGTGCAGTTTTAATGTATTTATATAAATGTGGCAAGGTGGAGAAACGAGGGCCTGGGCAGGATTCGAACCCCAGAATCACAGGTGAGAGTCACGCGTGCTAACCAGTCAGCGTAGCCAGGGCGCATGATCAATTGGGAGACAGTGACAGGATGCTCACCCTGTCACATAAACATCATATCCATCCCACAGGGGAGCTGGTAGAGGAGAGGCAGGTTTGGGCCTGTGTGCTGGAGCTGCTACCCCACCCCATCCTGACATATCCCATAATTTATTCCAGATTATTATTGACATGTTTTCTGCTGCTGAATCCTAAATTCACTTTACAATAAAGGGTTCCTTTATACAGTGATCCCTCGCTACTTCGCGGTTCATTTATCGCGGATTCACGACTTCTCGGATTTTTTCTTTGGAGCCTTATTCAAGGGAAATTCGCCGATTCGCGTTATTTTTCACCGATTCGCGGTATTTTTCTATGCGAAATATCAAGAAATTCCTGTTTTTTCATCAATTTCATCATAAAATGCACTTTTTGTAATAAAACTATAAAAAAAACAAGTACAAATTTTTTTCTATGTAAAGGGAGGGTTTTAAAACTCTGAATACTGAATACGTACCTGTTAAATAAATACTGTAAATATGGTGTCCCTACTTCGCGGATTTTCACCTATCGCGGCCAGGTCTGGAACGCATCTACCGCGATAAACGAGGGATCACCTGTAATGCATTATTAAGCATTAATAGACAAAGGGTCCCTTTATTAACATATTGTTAACTTAGTGTACTTAAGGCTAGGAAAAAGAGCGGGGGTGGGGGGTGTCTGCTTAGCAATGCATTACATAATATGGTTAAGCAGTTAATATTTTATTAAATAGTTTATTAATGCTTAATAATGCAATAAGTAACGTCAGTAAAGGGAACATTATTGTATAGTGCTACCAAAACTGCTTTTCCTTACATAGAATAAACACCAACATGCTCCCAAAGGCAGGCAGGCTCTAAATTTAATAAACATTTAATTCATGTCTACGTAACAAAAGTTACATTTAATATTGAACAGTACAGAGACCTGACAGTGGTTTTGATTCTTTTATTTTGGAATTGTTTTTAAAAATGTAACTTTCTTAGCCTCTAATATGTGGACATTGGCTCCTATTTCATTCTCTTGAACTTAGATCTTTTGTTATTATTTAGACACTTGATGTTAACTTTAAGTTTTTGTTTTCTTTCTTTTTTTTTAGGAAATTTGACAACGTTTCTGTTTAATTTCATTTTTACATTTTTGAAATTTTTGTCATTTTGTTTCCAATATTGAGAGTCGACTAATCTGTAAAAGCTAGATATGTTTTTTTTTCTTTTTAGTCACACCAAATATTCAATTCAAGTCTATTTATATAACGCCAAATCACGACAAGAGTCATCTCAAGGCACGTCACACAGTAAACATTCCAGTACAGTTCAGTTCAGTAAGCCAAACAGTAAAACGTTTCCTATATAAGGAACCCAGCAAATTGCATCGAGTCACTGACTAGTGTCAGTGACTTTACAGCAATCCTCATACTAAGCAAGCATGCAGCGACTGTGGAGAGGAAAACTCCCTTTTAACAGGAAGAAACCTCCAGAGGATCCTGGCTCAGTATAAGCAGCCATCCACCACGACCCACTGGGGATTGAGAAGACAGAGCAGACACACACACACACACACACACACACACACACACACACACACACACACACACACACACACACACACACACACACACACACACACACACACACACACACACGCACGCACGCACGCATGCAGGCACGCACACACACACACACACACAACATATATACCAAGTGTGTCTGTGGTTACATTTTGATTTCTTAGTAAATATTCTATTTGGCGAGAGATAAACTTTATTGTATTTATCCTAGTGAATCTATAATTAAACGGGTAATCTAGTAGTAGCACATTCGACGTCAAAGAAAGTAAAAAGTTATTATCAGGAGAGGGAGAATGTTTAAGTGGTTAGCAGCAGTGTTCAAGCCAATGGCACCCTCCATGAGGCCACCACAGCTCAGCAGAACACCATTGTAGCTTCTTCTGGAGAAAAACACTTAAGAGAAAAAATAATGTTAACAGCTGAAATACCAGGAAATATTGCAGTTAAAGAGCAAATTGTAGAAGAAATATAATTTTGGGTCTCAGGAGGATATTTAAAAGATTCTTTCTTACTGTATTTTATTTGGTTTTGTCTGAGGGTTTCTGGTGCTGCTCGTTTTTATCAGAGCGACGTAGAGAAGACCAGCCTCTTATCAGCAGGTTCCTGGTGTTGGCTGGCTGGCGTTAAATTTTCGGAGCCATCTCCGTCCGCTCAGAGCAGGGGTCACCAACCTTTGTAAAGCTGAGAGCTACTTCACAATAACTGAGCCATATGAAAGGCTGCCCGGTTGACAGACTGGAAAGCCTAGTCAGCTGCGCCCTCTGGTGGGCAAGTTCTATAGAGACTGAACCTTTTAGTTTTCTGAAGCTCTGCAATTAGCTACAGCATACATGCACCACCCTCAGTCGTACATTGCTGCATTTCAGGCACTCCAATATAAGTATGGTAAGCCACGACAGCTTGTCCAATCAGAACTGGGCGTTATCTTGAACATGCCAGCATTCAAACCAGGAGATGCTGCGGCATGCCTTATCTCTAGCTGTACATACACTAGTGAGCATGCTAAGGACATCTAGGCCAGGGTTTTTCAGTAGTGGATGTGCGACTGCATTTTTGAAGGTGGATGGAATCACTCCAGTCGAAAGGCTGCTGTTGACAATTTCCAGAATGAATGGCGCCAACACAGGAAGGGCCCCAACTAGTAGTTTGGTTGGGAGGGAGTCCTCACACATCAGCTCCCAGCTGAAACCCACCAAACCTATGGTGGGAAGCCTGCTGTTTGGTAAAACAGGACAAATTGAACTTTAAAATGAATTTATTTTTGAATTGTAACGACGATCAAAGCTCTGAAAATATGTCAGAGCCACGAGGAAAGATTTTTGAATTGGATTGCTTAGAAAAGTGTTGGTTGTGGGGGAGCATGCTGCTCCAGTGAAGAATATAAGGGCTCTGTCAGATGCTGTTAGGTCCTTTAATTAATATTAGAGCCAGTGGTAACTAGATAAATGCATCTCTTTCCAAAATACAGTTTGAATGTTGATTGCTGAAAAGCTGAGCAGATCCACCAGGGTGACAAGATGTTAGGATTTTGGGTCAGGGGTGAACTGGAGCTTCCAGAGAAAACCCCCACACAACACAAGGACACACAGAAATGATGTGGAGGTGTGTTTTCTGTGACATAATCCTTGTGTGGTCTTTTTTTTATTTTACAGACGACTAGGTGGTGTTGCGTAACAGGGAAGGGACGGGATTTAGTCACCCTTGATGGACGTTCTCTTAGTTTGTAATGATCTAAAAACGAACTAAAAACTAACAGTTTAATTATTGATCTTATAACTAATGAACTAAAAATGCATCTAAAAACTATAATAAACCAACTAAATATAACAAATGAGCATTTAAACTCAGCCGTGGGAGCATGCCGGACCAACCTAAGTGAGAACGTATGTGCATCCATTGCAGAACGTGGTATCTATAAATTTAGCAGCTATTTGCTGCTACAAAGAACAGCTCCATATGCTTATTTCTAAGGTCCCGGTATGAACTTTGTCCTTTGTTCAGTTCTTTCTGAAATTTGCTCTTTTCTACGTCTAACTGCTTTCCTACAGCAACTGTAGTCTGTGCCATTTGGACGCTAAGCGCTTCTTTTTCAGACTGATTAGTTAAAATAGTTTGTGCTGCTTCTTCACGTTCTTTTTCCATCTCCTGTTGTAAACTTTCTATCTGCCGTTTACTATCAAAAACCTCAGTTTTATACTTTTTCTCAAGGTCCTGACAACGAACCTCTCTCTCCTCCAGATCTTTCATATAATACCTCTTTTCTATTTCAAACTGTCTTTCCATCGCTCGTGCTTGGTCTGCCATCTTATTATACAGCTCGACTTTTTCATCCTGAACAATCCAAATCATTTCCTCTTTTTCCTTACAAAGTTTCCTTTCTTTCTCTAACTTCCTGTGTAAATTTTCTTCTTGCTGGCGGCTTTCTGATCAAGACGCTTAACCCGCCTTGCCTGCTGGTGGTGGTCAGGGGGACCGGTGGTGCCTGTGTATGGCAGGCCTCGCCTCTGTCAGTGTGTCCCAGGACAGCTGTGGCTACATCGTAGCTCATCCCCACCAACGTATGAACGGGTGAATGACTGATTGTGTCATGAAGCGCCTTGGGGGTTTGTGGAACCCTACAGACCATTTACCAATAATAGATCATATTTCTTGAGGTGTAAACATGGATTGCTGTAAAGCGTTGCTACTTCTCGCAAAATACGTGACTTTGGGAAGCAGTGTGGAGACTCTGAAGTTGCAAGTGTGGCATTCTGGCCACAAGGGGTGGAGGGAGCGGAATGACTTTTCATGAACCCTTTACTGGCTCAAGAAAAGGATTAAAAACATGAAAAAGTTGCACAGTGTGCCTTTAAGGCTGTGATTTACTAAGCTGGGAAAATCCGTGACCCTCCTAAGACACATTCAGACAGCTGCAGTACCACCTGACATTCGGGAGCTGACACTTGGCATGAGGTGGAACTGTCTTACCGACACCTTGGGCTATAAACACAGCTCCACTGAGCCTCTGCCTCCCACACTAAATATCTGTAGCTTAACTGTCGAACTACACGGAAGAACAAGGCGAAAATGAACTAAAGTTAAACTTCAAAAAGCAAAAGTCCCAGACAGCTGAACACAAAATGCTTGTAATCCTCAAGCCCTACAGAGCAGATTAAAGCTAGTAAATACATTAAAAACAAACAAAAAAAGTATTTTAAAATAAATGAATAAATAAATAAATTCTGAGGCACGTGGTCCGTGAAGACAGCACTGAAGGTTATCCTCAAAGAGCAGTCTGTTCCAGAGCCTAGTCCTTCACACCCTTCTCATGGAGATGGAAGGAATCTTGTTCGCCAAGCCACTTGGTTATGTCTCCTTGCACATCGCTGACCCTGATCCTATAGCATCGACTCTTCTTCTTATAGGACGCAAGGGCGCTTCACTACCTCAGGTGTTGTATGAACCATCCAATCTGCTGGGATGGAGAAGATGGCGACATAGTCAGATCTTGGCAGACAACTTTTGGACCACATTTATCCACCAATACCTCCCCGGTCTCCAAGAGCGCCAAAAATGGCGGACTGACAATAAGGACCTTAAGACTGACCTGGTTCTGCTTATCGTGGACTCTCAGCGTTCACGGGCCCTCTGGCCTGTGGGCACTGTTACGGAGACCTTTAAAGGATTGGATGGATATGTCCAGGTCTGCAGCTATAATGATTCCTCGAGGAGGACCCAGACGCTGATTCTGCTCGACATTCTCAGTGATTACAAATGTCTTAGCTGACATTTGGAGGCGGCTGTGTGAGAAAGCCTGGTCAGCTGTGCCCTCTGGTGGGCAAACTACAGACAGAACCTTTTAGTTTTCTCCACCTGAGTAAGCAGAACGCACAGATCACAACATGCTCTATAGGTGAAAAATCGTACGTCGCTTTGGATAAAAGCGTCTGCCAAGTAAAAAAACAAACATAAACATGTCTGGTGCTACGGAGGAGCGGAGCCTTTTGCTCATTATGGACATGCTTCCCGTGCGTTATGGACGATAGAAGTGAGTGAAATGTTTCTGTTTGACCCTAATCGCTGTTTCCCCCAGCGAGAGCAGCCATCTACGGCGCTCATCTACTGTACAGTCACAGGTGGGAGGGAGATCTTGGGAGAAGCAAAGAGTACATTGACTCCTACAGATTGATGACCTCGCCAGGCTGAAGCCCCCCAATCCGAAGGCGGGGTGGGGTCGGGTTTTCACAGCATCTGTCTGCATTCCTTCGTGGGGGTTTTATTTGTTTGCTGCTCAAGGCTTCCAGGTCGTCAGATTCAGATAACAAGAATTTGTTTGGGTCAGGCTGAGATAATTTTCCTCTCTGCCTTCAGTCTTTAAACTGATCATTCCAGTCCTTCAGTGAAGCCAATTTTGGGTTTTCAAGCCTGTCCATACCGTCCGGTGACTTTCTCTGAGATGTCATCCATTTTGCGCACCAATACCGTATCGCAGCTAACATCCATCTACGCAACATCAACCGCCTTCGCCCCTCCCTCACTACTCACTCGGTCCCCATCCTTGTCCACAGCCTCATCACTTCCCGTATTGACTACTGCAACGCTCTTCTCTTCGGTCTTCCTCACAAATCCCTCCATTAACTCCACCTTCTCCAGAACTTGGCAGCCCGCATCATTACCAGAACTCCCTCCTTCCACCACATCACCCCTGTTCTTCAGCAGCTCCACTGGCTCCCAGTCATTTCCAGAATCCAATTCAAAATTTTGCTATATACATTCAAAGCCATCCGTAACCTAGCTCCCCCCGTACTTCTCAGACCTCCTTCATCCCTCAACCTCCACCCGTTCCCTCAGGTCCTCCTCCTCCATCCACCTCTCTGTCCCACTACTCCGTCTGGTCACTATGGGGGGGCAGGGCCTTCAATCGCTGTGCTCCCCAGCTCTGGAACTCCCTCCCTCCTGCCCTCCGTGACATTGACTCCCTCACTCTCTTTAAAACCAGACTCAAAACCCACCTGTTCCGTCTAGCATTCCAAAACTTACTCTCTTTGCTCAAATCTGTCTGTTTATTTTATGCTGTTCTATCTTTTATTGTTGTGTATTTTATCTATGTCTGTAAAGTGTCCTTGAGTGTTTAGAAAGGTGCTGTTGAAATAAAATGCATCCAATATGGCGCCACCCAGAGACTTAGACCCGCTCCCATTTATTTTAGACCTGATTTTCATGGTTATATGTTATGAAACCGCCGATATTTTTCAACAACTGGATATCTTTTAATTAATTTACAACAGCTTTTCAATAAGTAATATACTTTTATATAACTATGAGAATCCCCCAGAACCTCCTCTGCTTCCCGATCACACACACGAGTTGCCAAGGTAACCAGACTGAACGACAGACTCTTAAATGCAAATGACAACCCGTCACTCTACGATTTTTTGTTGTCTGATGGGGACCTCTCCTTTGTCCCGACCGCTCTGCAACTTTTTGGGTTCTTGAGACAATTTTTTTTTTTACATTTTGGAACATGTAACAAACAAAAATTGTATAATAAAGCAGGAGAACAATCATAACTGAAATTATAACAAAGAACCAAGAAAAGATTTGTGAAAGGCATTAAAGATGGAGCAAACGGGTTATCAAAACATTCAACACATAAGAAACACTGGACAATATATGTTTTGCACAGTTAGTTCAAATTAACATGAGTGAATAGTAAAAGGATCTTAATTCATTTAAAAAAAACTTTGAAACAAGGAGCGGATCCTCTTAATTTACAGCAAAGGATGTGATATTTTCCCAAGAGGAAAATGATATTCGCCATGTCCAAAATATCAGCTGGTGAGTCAGTAACAGACAGCAGAACATCATTAACAGGTAAAATTGGAGGATTTGGAATCGTAAGACTCAGCCACTCCCTGACAAGAGGTGATCTAGGGATTTTTTAGAGGTATTGCAGAAGGCACATAGCCTGGCAAGCCAGACTAAATAAATGTATTATTTAGTCTGGCCATGCTCCATTGACGGCTCTTGGTTGTGGGGCGGGTTCTACCGTTGTCTTTCAAATGATCTCCGCATTCCACTGGACAATGAATGTGACATACTCTTGTTTCACTCTGTTGCATCATCCCACCCACCAGGCATATAGAGTGCCCTGATTGGCCCACAAAGTGGATAAAGCTCTGTGATTTGTTCACTAAGCAGATAGAGCACTATGATTGGCCCACCATTATGGACCAATCACAGCTCTTTGTGTGTTTGAAACCCCTCTAGAGAGCTGTGATTGGCTAGCCAGAGTCCTGGTAGGAGCTGCTGAGGTTCCAATGGAGCATGCCTAGACCAAACTTTGCAAAGCAAGAATTTGGTCTAGTTCACTAGGCTAGAAGGCACATGGTGTTAGGTCAAATTTGAATATTTTATGCAAAAAACAGCGACTGGATTGTTTGGTTTTTTGCACTTCAGCAGCCAGTGTCTTGATCCCGCTGTCAATAAAGTTTTTAAAAACTTTTAGGGGGGGGAAAAACCCAGGTAATCATGAGCTGAGGACGTAGCGTGACTAAATGCGGTTAATTGAGGGTGTTTCTGTATGACCGTGAATGGACACGGGCACCTGGGTACTCACAGGTGGGATCCATCATCAGACGATGGGGAAGGAACGTGCGTACAAGAGGCCACCACGTTTCATAAATCAGGATTTTGACCATTCGTCAACATTCTAGATTTTGTTTATAGGAAGGAATTTAGGAATATTTCTACTAACATTTGATGAATGAGGCCCCTGGTCTGCCACATCTGCAACTACCAGAACATTTAGGGGTCCCACTTCACTGATCCAACCCATCTAAAAGCTTGTGTGGAACATCTAAGTGGATCTGTGTCAGATGTTTGGTTCTGGTTTCCTAGACCTGACCCGGTTGTGGGTTCTGCTTCCTATCGTTGCTGCCCGGTCTCGCTGAGGTCCAGGTTGATCCCAGACAGCAGCTCTCCTCCACAGGAGCGGTTCAGCAGCTCTTTCAGGGCTTCGTTCACGTCGTTGTTGAAGACACTGGAGAAGCCGCAGTTGGGATACCCTCCACCTCCTCCTGTGTCAACCTGAAATGACCCCACCACCTCCTGAACCCACCTCAGCTCCTCACTGAGTTCCAGGTGCAGAGCTTCAAAGTGACCCTGCCTCTCCTGGAAACGCTCTCCGACGGCAGCGAGGCTGCAGTTAAACGCCTGCATGTCATCCTGCAGGCTCTTCTTGGAGGCCTCCACTTTTCGGAACTCGTAGCGGATCTGGGAAAGCTCGTGACGGACCTCCTCGCTCTCTTCCTTGTACCAGGCCTCCTTCTCATTATAGATGGAGACCAGGGCATCGATGTCCTCCTGTAGAGAGTCGTGAGCTGCTGCCAGAGTGATGAAGGAGCTCTCCATGTGATCAATGTCCTCCACTACCTGGGCGAAGCGTTCAAAGTTCATGTAGGTGTTGTTGGGTGGCATGCTGGAGTGGGACTTGATGGTGTACTCCCTCAGACGTTTGGTCTTCAGCTGCCGGCGCTCCCGTTTCCTCGGCTCCTGGGCCCTTTCCTCTTTGTGCTCGTTGTTCTGAAGGAGGTTAGAAGAACAACAAACATCAGGAGACACACCAGCAGCAGGTTCATGGTTCCTATGGTTCACTGGACTTTGTACGACTGAGCTTGAGGACTCAGCTGAGAGACATAACCAGAGTGTTGAAGGTTACCGTGATCCAGGGGTGGCTGAGAGCTTCTCGGATCGTTAATCTTTTCCTGGGAAACAAAATCAGTCATGAGCACCAGAGCTTTAAAGCCTCTAAGACAAAACTGCATCTATTACTTCTTATCTTTCTCTAGCAGCTGGCTGATGAACCTCTTGGCCAGCTCACTGGTGTGACAGAAGAACTCCTCGTCAAACTCATAGTTTACTGCCGAGATGTTCCCCAGAGTGTCCTGCTTGGTCTCCCCCAGGAACGGAGATGCTCCGCTCAGCCTAGAGCAAAACAAACAACACCAGCCCATTTGACTCGTAAGGAGCCAGATCGACGCCCAGAAGTTCTGCTCATGATCGTTTGTGGTTCACTTGCAGGATGTAGGTGATGACACCAATGCTCCACATGTCTGCCTCCAGCCCCAGCGGCTCGTAGTTCACGATCTCTGGAGCTTTAAAGGGGAACAAGAACTGGATTTGTTCGGAGAGCCGACAGCCAAGTTCAGCTAAAACAAACGTGTCTCACCTACAAACTCCGGCGTCCCAAAAATGTTTTTGAACTCAACTCCCGCATCGATGGTGTGGGCGAGACCGAAATCGATCAGCTTGATTCTCGGCAGAGAAACGTTTTTGTCCAACAGCATGATGTTTTCAGGCTGCAGAGGAGCAAAAACGCAGAAAACCTCTCAATAAAACAAAAAACTAACAAATCAGTTCTTATTTGTTCTGATCAGCTGAGAAACATCCAGGACACGCTGGTCTTCCTTCAGGCCTCTTCCCGATTAGACGTGCCTGGAAAACCTCACGAGAGATGCATCCTAACCACCGGTTCAGGCTTGCTTTAGCGTGACCTTCATCACCACCCTCCTCATTCTGCTCTTTCCAACTCCGCCTTTCCCCAGATCCACTGATTTCCCTTTCCTTACATTTCTTAATCACATTTTTTCTCATTTTAACCATATTTTTTAAAAGAAATTTTGTTTAATCTTTTTAATAGTTTGAATTTTTTGTTCTTGTGAAACTTCTCCTGATTTTATCTTGAGAGGCGCTATGTAAAAGATCATTTTCTTTTATTTTCTTTCAGATGCCCAAACTACCTCAACTGGCTCCTCTTGATGTGGAGGAGAAACAGATCTACTCCCAGCCCCTCCCGGATGACCGAGCTTCACACCCTTCCTCTAACAGGGAGGAAAAATATCTTCAGCCGCTTGTATCTGCGATCTCACTACCCAAAGCTCGTGACCATAAGTGAGGGTTGTTGAGGTGGACTTTCGTCCTGAAGATGATTTGTCTGATAAAAGATGAAAAAATGTGAAATAAAGTGCACAATAAGCCAGTTTTAATGACAGCTTGTTATAAAAAAAACTGCTTCTGTTAAAGAACTAAGAGAAATAATCTCAGATGTTTGGATCAGAGGGGAGAGCCTGGGGGTGTGTTTGGCTAAAGCACAACACATAATTGAATCAGTATTTGACGTAAAATAATAAAATTAAACCTTAAAATCAAATATAAATATAAATGTGGCAGTTTTAAGCTAAAAATGCAAGTTTTAAAAACTGCAAAAAAATGAAGTGTCCTTTCAAAATAAGAGTGAGGTTAGGTGATAAGGCATCAGATCCTTGAGCTGTTTAGTGAACCAAGTCTGATGGTCATGAGACCAGCCAGCTGTAAAAGCAGCAGAACCCGTCTGCAGCAGTTCTGCATGGGAACTGGACCTTTCTGGTTGATGTTCTGAACACCTGTAGCACACGTGCAGCCACCAGGTGGCAGCATAGGTACATTTATCAGATTCTAATAATTGATGATGTGCTTAAATATTTTTAAAATTATTAATCAATAAAAAATCTACCTCATTTTAAATCCACTGAGATACAAACATTCCTGGGAAATTTCCAGCATTCCAGGGTTGTTAACTTTGAGAATAAATTCAGAAAAATATGTGAAAGAGGGCAGATTTATAAAGAATTGATATAAATGGAGTCAACAGCAGAGAGAAGCAGAGAAAAACAAACTGATAAAAATCATAAAGAGCTTCAGAGATCAGAGATTAGATTAGGCGGAAGATTATTATTAGAGAATTACATCAAACATTCAACTCTTTCTGGACCAAATCCTCACCAAAGCCCTTGACCTTAAAACAGGTGTGTTCAACATGTGGCCTAGGGGCCTGTTGCAGCCCTCAGAGTGATTTTGTGTAGGTCACACATGCATTCCTAACATTTTGTATTTTGTCTCCAGCAGGCTGTTGATGGACAGCGACACTTTCTAACATTTATATGTTCTGATTTTCACTAATGTCTATGTTGCTATTTTGAGGAATAGAAATAGAACACAAATTATTTTTTTCATTAAAAAATATTAATTTTAGAAGACTTAGACAATGATTTTGACCCGTCTAACGAAGTTTGGACACACCTCTTTAAGATCTCCTAATGGAGTATCAAGAGTGGTGCCTTCATAGACAGGAATATGTAGACGCCCAACTGGGCACTGAGAGCATAACAGTTTTGCTGCCATATTGGATGGGTCTACTCACACTTCTGACCAAGTCCTCCAAATACACCCACATCACCCCGCTTCTCCTCCAGCTTCACTGGCTGCCAGTCAACTCCAGGGTTCATTTCAAGATCCTGGTTCTGGTCTATAGGGCCTTACATGGACAAGCACCATCTTACATTGGTGATCTTCTTAGTCCCTACACCCCCAGCAGGTCCCTGAGGTCCAGTGAACAAAGCCTACTGGTTGTGCAGCACCAGGCTAAAGACCAAAGGTGACAGATCATTTCCTGCTGTGGCCCCCAGACTCTGGAACTCTCTCCCCCTGAGTCTGAGATCAGTGGACTCAGTGGTCTCCTTCAAAAAGCAGCTGAAGACTCACTTTGAACATCTTAGGTGTGTTCTTGCTGTGTCTTTCTAAATCCATGCTTTCGTTTCTGTGTTTAAAAAAGAACGAAAGCATGAAGACTCACTTATTCACGCTGGCTTTTGTATGACCTTCTTCACCACTCTCTCTTTATTCTGCTCTCCCCACCTATTCCACCTTCCTCAGGATCCACTGATTTTCCTCTTTCCTATTCACTCTCTCTCTTTCTTAACATTTTTAATCACATTTGTCTATTTTTGCTCATTTTAATATATTTTTAAACATTTTCGAAAAGCTTTTTTATATTTTTACAATTTTTGTTTTTGTGAAGCGCCTCGTGATTTTTATCTTGAGAGGCGCTATAGAAATGATATTTTCTTCTTCTTCACTCTCCAAAGACAATGCTAAGTGGACAGCTATGCCCGTTTTTGTGCAGCCTTTTGTTGCAACAACTGGCGTGCTATTGAAAACTGATCATGTGGGATTACTAGTGGCTTTTCTAACCCACGTGGTGGGATTTTATTTTTCAATTTACTTTCAATTTATTTTAATTATATATATATATATATATATATATATATATATATATATATAAGCGATGTATCTGACTTTGTGAAAAAGCTTGATAAAATGTGTTTTTAGTTGGGTAGACACCTTCCTCAATAGAAATGAGCGAACTGGGGGGAGAATTTAGTCCCATCTAAGATGGCTGCCTCCGGTGGAGGGTCTACAGGTGGGCATTTCTTTATTACTGTTGTAGTGTTTTAATTACACAGTAAAATACACCAGTTTATTATAAAGTTTTTATATTAACAGTAGACAATAGATAGCTTAGTTTCAATAAACTCAAATATTTTATTACTATTTCATATTCCAGGTTTTAAATAGATAAAAAATATTAAATTAAATACGAAATAGAAACTTAAGAAAATAATGTGTATTTTATTTTTTTAGTTTAGTTCACAATATTTGAGTGAAATAAAACCTGAATCCATTCCGTTTAAACTGATAATAATCTGATTTTAAGTGAACTTTGACCTTTGTGACAGCACCTCTGTTGTGTTTGGACACACCTTGAGGTCGAAATGGGCAATCTTTCTGGCGTGGAGGTAGTTCACCCCCTCCAGGATCTGCTTGATGAACTGGGTGGCCTCCTCTTCGCTCAGAGACTCCTTCTGGGCCAGGAAGTCAAAGAGTTCTCCACCGGAGACCCTGGAACACAAACACCCATCAGCAGATCTCCTGGAGCTCCTGCCAAACCCCAACATGTGTTTGTTCACCGGGAAGCTGTTTGCTCCCAGTCTGGAGACCTGATGTTGAGTTTGTTCTTTCAAGATAAATCTTTTCTACGTGTTTTTTCATGTTTCTGTCCAAAGTGACCAAAATCAGGTGGAATCTGAAGTACACAGACGAGAACCTTCAGGTACAGCTCCTACTGACACGGTGTCTGTCTGAAAAATCAGCGTTTGTTTGGAGATGCCAACAAGACAAATGTACAACATCTGAGCAGAAGGTTTATTCTAGTCATACGTTCTGTGTATCTGAGGTCAGTTCTTGAAGGTACCACCAGGTCAAGACACTCTTCAGCCCCAAGTGTAGGGATTGTTTGTTGACTAGTTCTGCTCAAACAAACACACACACACACACACACACACACACACACACACACACACACACACACACACACACACACACACACACACACACACACACACACACCCTTCTTAAGGATGCTGGAGTTGATGTGCCACTCACAGCTCTAGGATCAGCACCACGTCCGTTCGGTTCTCGTAGACCTCGCGTAGAGTGACGATGTTCTGGTGTTGGACCCTCTGCAGGATAGTCACCTCCCGCTCGATCTCCTCTCTCCGGACTCCCCGAGAGCTCGCCATGCTCTGGCGTTTCTTGATGAATTTGGCAGCAAACTGCAGACCAGAGCTTTTCTCCCTGCATTGCTTAACGATGGCAAACTGTCCACTGAAACACAAACATGGAAAATTGTAATTTGAAGGAAACCTATTTCACCAAAATTGCTGATTAAGAACCATTTTAAAGGCTTGTAAGAAAGTCTGCATACTTTGAAAAAAGAGGGAGCAGGTGAGGTCTGGATCTGGGGTTCTGGACTGGACTTTTGCCCCAACCAGTTCAGTAGCTTTGACCGCAAGGTCCAGAGGAGGCCTGAAGGGGGCGCTGCACATTTACAGGAAGAAACCTAAAACCCTTTATCATTTAAACTTTCTTGTTTTTATCCGATCTGACCAAAGTCCAGTTTTAAAGCAGGACCAGAATGAACGTGGCTGGTTTCTCTGAAACTGGGGTTGTTTGTTTCTTAATGTTGTCATTCGCATTCCTGCTATTTTCAGGTTTGCATATTCTGCAACAAGCTGCATCTGCTCAATATCAGCCTGACACCCACAGCAGCCACATAGGTTCTGCAGGGGCCCGCGGGCCCCAGGGGGCCCAGACATCTGGAGTAACTGGGGGTTGGGGGGATACCAGCCACACACAGGAAATATTCCTCCATGGTGTGTTTTAGAGAATTGCTGATTATGAAACAATTTCAAGTTCAGTCAGGCTTGTATGTCCCACAGGCTTACAAACAAACAAGTTGAAGGTCATGACTACAACTTCCTCTGCTTCACTTCTACAGAACGGGTTTTGGTCGGAAGCCAGTCAGACAGAAACCTGCTGGCTGCTAAAGATAGACGGTAACAGCTGCCTCCATGTCACACCAAGACACAGCTAAACACTCAGAACACCTAAACCTCTCCTAAATAAATACATTTCTAAAGTTAATGCTTAAAACTAGGGTGAAATCATAGTGCTAGTTAAAGATTTGATTTAAGTGAATCATTTTTCACATTTTGATTTTTTTATTGAAATTAAATTATTCATGGAAAACTGATAAAACATTAATCATGTAAAAACCTCAGGCAGAGGCTTTTTTCAGGTTTTAGTGCAGCTCGCTAGAATACCGCACTGTAAACAAAATAAGCAATGGAAACTAAAAAAAGATCAGTTCACTAGAATTACATTTAAAACAGGACTTCTTGATATTTGGACACGACTCTACCATTGAGTCTGTTTGATCTGCAACACTCATGTTTTATCTCCACAAATTACACAAGCCCAAAGGAGTTCTGCCATGTGGTGGATTTGCTAATGCTAACAGTTAGCTTCTACCCATTGAGATGTTCTCTGCTGCTTCCTGGATGCTAACTCCACAACAGCCTTCCCTGTCGTGAGTCGAGATGGGTGAGTCCTCATATGTTGAACGACAGTGTGACGTAGATCTGTCAGGTTTTTCAAACCCTAGAGTTTCCTCGTCTATTTTCTATCAGAGGCAGATGCAGGAGATAGTTGTAGGAGACTATTTTCATGTTCAGCTTGCATAAAAAACTAAGAGGGACTGATAATTATCAGGAAAAAATATCTAAAATGGCCGTTGTTTTACTCTATTCTAGTATATTCTATTAAAAAAAGAATTTTCAGTGATTCACACCTTTGAGACAGTGGTCTTATTGGAAACAGCTGGGTAACGTTTGGGGTGGAGTCCAACATGGGCAGGGCTAACTCACTGACACGCCTCTTTAACACATCTCAGAGTGTAAACAGACTATTTCTTTAGCCTATTCAGATGTTTATTATGTGCTCAAATGTGTACACCACCCTCTGATGGGGAGCCCAAGTCACGCCTATCTACTTCCAGTCCATGGGTCGTCTAACGTAAAAACATATCAATGACTGTCTACGCAGTGATAAGTTATTTTCTGATCCTGTTTGGCATGTGCCATGGATTTAACATATGATGTCTGTGAATTTTAAAGACTAACAACTCATCAGGGGGTAGAGAGGAGGGGCACCCACAGTAGTTTCGGTTCATTAAATAACAACAGACAGCTACAGCTTATAAGCTTGACTCTCCCACATTCTAGTCAGAATTAACGAAGCTTCTTGGATGAGAAGCCAAATGTCTTCAAGAAACCAAAGAAGTCCAGTTGCCTTCATTTGAACCCTTATAGATTACCATGAGCTGGATGACTGAGAACCTTCACCAGCAATTTTTAAAGACACATTTTGACGCTCGTGGCAGCAAAGCTTCCTTTAAGTTTTCAGTGAAATTATGTGCAAGGACTAGACTACAACTGCTCGGCTCACTAAATTTATGTCATCAAACCAGACAAAGAGAAGAAGAAAAATGGCTGCGAGTTTGCATCCTTCTTCCAGGACAACTAGAGCACTTCAGTATAGGTAGCAAGATATTCACAGATTCAACTTTTGCAGTTAAAAACCTTCTGAACAGACTAATGTTTCGAAACATGAAATACCTATCTGGACTCGTGGCAAGGTGAACAAGCTGCAACGTTTTATCTTGCCAACTTCACTGAAGTAACATGAGCAGCATTAAACGTGGAGAAAACCACTATAAATGTGGCCATGCTGTAAGTAGCAGCTTTGCGGTGGGAGAAGAGATTCTGTGGTGATGTCATATATGCCACTTCTGATTTGTAGTCTTTTAATTATGAATTTTTTACAAGCAAATACATTTCTAATTATGTACAGTCAGACATAGTCAAAATACAGTCCGCACAAGCCTATGTGGGATACAGGGCAAATACATAAGGCAAAGTGGACCAGAAACTTTTATTGCCTACTCATATTTATTTTTCTTTTTTGTAGTAAGGGGAGGAGATGGCTTCTGATGTCTCTACTAGCCTATATTATTGGCTAACACAACTAAAAAGACGGAAAATGATTTTCACCAACACCAAACTAAAGATTTTTATACAAAAAAAAAAAAACAACAAAAAACAAAAACCAAAACAGAAATATTTTAAACCAAACTGGGTCAAAAGTTTGAACATTAGTCAGACTCCACAGGTGACCCAAAATGAAACCAGACTGGATCAGAACCAGTTTTTGAACTTGTTAATATTATGCTGCACATCTGTACCTGCCCAACTCTTCACCAATTTCATAGAAGTCCTCCACATTCTGTTGCTTGAATAACTCCATGCCTCCTGCTGCGTGCGTTCCTCACGGGGTAAATATAACTGTCAGGATGACCTCCAGGCTAAAAATAAACCATAAAAACACCTTAAACATACGTCAGAATAAATGTTCTAATCAGCAGAAATCACCAGTGTAGAAAGTCTTCACGCGGTCGTCTTGTCCTCCTGATCGGTCTAGGTTCGGTTCGGTTCGGACTACGAGGATCCAGACACTTAGTCTTCGGCGCCATTCAAAACCTCCTACATAAAACTTAGTGTTAAGCATTGCGCTGTTGGGAGGTGGAACTGAAAATCTATTATATAAAAATACGTTAGATTTTATAATAAAAAGGTTTTAGCTGATAGAGATTAAGCCGATAGTTTCACAACTTTAAAACAATTCAGAAAACAACGAGAAATTTTCAAAACAGAGTACAGATTGACAAGAATGTGAGTAAACTTTTAATTCACTGATTCATAAACGCGGTTTGGCGCCAACATGTCCGCGCGCTCCCGCCCTGATTGACCGACCATCTGTGCTGCCCATGCACGAGCGCAGCTGTTGCAGAAGTGTTATTTTTTCTTAAACTACAAACAGATAAAACAAGAACAAACTTTTAAAGTTTGCTTCATAAAAATGTAATCTACACAAGTTGTGTGAGAAAAATCAGCATTGTTGTTAAAAACTGAATATTAATCTATACATTTATTAATAGTTTATGTATAATCTAACAATATTTTCACTTTGATTTTTTTGTAGATTTTAACTAGCCTATTTACAAAATTTAAATATATTTCTAATAAATGAACACTTTATTTGGATTAGTTGTCAAGTCAAGATTCCTTTTAATTGTTTGAATGCTGTTAAGCATTCAAACTATTGTTTTCCTGTTTTTCTTTCTTCTTCTTCTTCTTCTTCTTCTTCTTCTGCTTCCGTACACTTTTTGAACCTCTTCTTCTCCTTCAAATTTTGAGCTATTTCAATAATTTTATATCAAAACGTTCAGCTCGTCAAGCTCTATCATTTTTGGCATTGATATCTTTAAAAAATTTTGAGTTATTAAGCTTTTTCTGAGAAAAATTTCCCATTGAAATTAATGGGATTGGTCAATTTTCAGCAAATTCCTATCACTTTTTTGACCTCAAACTCTATTGGGTTCCTTTTAACTTAGATACTTCATTCAAAGTTCAACAAACTCACAAGACTTTCCTGTTTAACATATTAAAGAGGCTTTTTGATATCTTTTACGGTTTTTCTAAAATCGCAGGTAGAAGTTGAGGTACGACTTGAAATTTTCAGAAAAATTAACAAAACAACCAACCAACCAGCTCTATACACTTAAAACTAGCAGCATAGCTGACATTTCAACACTAGTCAGAAGGCAGGAACCGCCCCCTCCTCCTTCACTGCTCTCTCATTGGCTGAGAGTTTTCAATCGTCTTCTGCCTAAAAGGAAATGTGCACCCACACATATGGTACATCAATTCAACCTGCTTGGTCCCAGGCGTCTTGTATCAACTTGATATTGTGTTCTGCGTCACCATGGCAATGTGCTTAGCAACAACATTTAACAACATTTTAGACACAACTGTATCAACATACTTTAATACTTTAAAGAGCAAGTCACCCCCAAATAAACTTTTTTTTGCTGATAAACTATATAAACGAGTGTCTAGTCGTGCTGCAGACACGTGGCGTCAATAATTTGGCACTTCAGTGAATCTTAGTTAAAATTTAAATATTCTGCCTAAAACTGTCAGTGTTGTGCCGTTGTCAGGTAAAAACTCTGCACTGTATTTTAATTTAAATCTGCCACAGCTATTGGCTAAGAAGTATGCTATGATGTAAACTGGTACATTATGATGTCACAATGCTGTCGTGAGCCTGTGTTTGTGTGTATTTGTTAGCAGCTCCGCCCTCTCGGTCTGCCAGGCAACAGCATTTGTTGCATTTTTCAAACATGAAGTGAGAGTGGAGTTAGACTCTGGTAGGGGTTGACTTGCTCTTTAATGTTATTCAAAGTTTAAAAGAGTCATGTGACATTGTACATTGTTTTGCTGTCATCTGTTACCATGGCAACACAAGGAACTTCAAATCACTTTAACCAGCTCTCATAGGAATGAATATAAAAAGCTGAATATTGAGCCATTAACAGACTCCTGTTTTTGATCTTTTTGAACTGTTTGTACTTAAAACTAGAAATAAGTTCAATTTGATTGACCGTCAGAAGTTGGGAAAGTGCCCCGCTCCCTCCCAGCTCCCTGATTGGTTGAGAGAGGTCAATCATCTTCTGGCTACATGGAATTACACACCCACGCATGTGAGACATCAAATCGATCGGCTTGGCCTAAGGAATCCATCCATCTACATATAAATCCATGCATGCTTCTATCCATCGATCCATCCATCGATCCATCCATCCATCCATCCAATAAACCATCTAACATCCATCCAACAATCCATCCGTTATTTCATTCATCCAACCATTCATCCATCCCATATCAAATCTGAACATATGTTAATCTATCAGTTTCAGATATCAGCAAATATTTCTAAATTCACAGTTCAGCCAATTGTAAAAATGTACCCGTTAAACAATTCTCATTCAAATGCCAGCTGTTTAACATTTCAAATTTCGAGTTTTTAATAAATGTTCAAAGATTAAAGTTTTCTGCTGTTTAGCATTTTTATCCATTCTTCACCTATATTCCGAGCTTTATTACAATTGTTGGTGATTTTTGCTTCTAAATCTTTAAATACATTCAGCTCATTTTGACAGTTTAGCTTAGTTTCAGCTTCACTTCAGCTATTCAGCAGCTTCAGCAATCCGTTTCTGAATTTGGTTTATGCTACTCATTTCACAGTTCAACTAAATATAAAAATTAAACTGTTAAACTAGTCCTACTCAAACAACAAGTGTTTAGATATTTTTGCTGTCCAGATTTTTAAATAATGTTCAGATTTCAGTTTTCTGCTGTTTAGGATTATTTTCTCCATTCTTCACTTTTTGTGCTTTATTTACATTTTGGTGCTTTTTGCTTCTAAATCTTTCAAAACATTCAGCTCATTTTAACAGTTTTGCTTAGTTTCTGCTTCAGCAATCAGTTTCTGAATTCAGCATATGATGCTAATTTCACAGTTCAGCTTAATGTAAAAATTAAACTGTTAAACTAGTCCTACCGAAATAACAGGTGTTTAGACATTTTAGCTGTCCAATTTTTTTAAACAGTGTTCACAGATTTGAGTTTTCTGCTATGTAGGATTAGTTTTCTTGATTCTTCACTTACTTTTTGTGCTTTTTTTTTGTTTCTTGGTGCTTTTTCCTTTCACATCTTTCACTACATTCAGCTCATTTGACAGTTTAGCTTAGTTTCAGCTTACTTCAGCTATTCAACAACTTCAGCAATCAGTTACCAAATTTAGCATAAACTGCTAATTTCACAGTTCAGCTAAATGTAAAGATTAAACTGTTAAACTTGGCAAACTGAAATAACAGGTGTTTAGACATTTAAGCTGTCCAGATTTTTATACAATGTTCACAGATTTTTGTTGCTATTTAGCATTATTTTTCTCTATTCTTCACTTACATTTTGTGCTTTATTTGCTTCTTGGTGCTTTTTGCTTCTACATCTTTCAAGACATTCAGCTCATTTTGACAGTTTTGCTTAATTTCAGCTTCAGTTCAGCTGTTCAGCAGCTTCAGCTTACAGTTTCAGCTATCCAGCATTCAAACAGCATTTGTGCAATAAATGCAATTTTTTTCTAGTTATTGTTTGAATACATTCTGAATTACATATACAGCACACACACACACACACACACACACACACACACACACACAAAGACAAGTAATGTGTCTATAGTTATATTATGATGTCTTAGTAAATATTCTATTTGGTGAAAGATAAACTTTATTGTTTTTATCCTAGTGGATCTATAATTAAACGGATAAACTAGTAGTAGCACGTCCAACGTCAAGGAAAGCAAAAAGTTATTATCAGGAGAGGGATAATGTTTTAGTGGTTAGCAGCAGTGTACTAGTCGATGGCCCCCTCCATGAGGCCACCACAGCTCAGCAGAACATTGTTGTAGCTTCTTCTGGGGAGAAAAACACTTTGAGAGAAAATAAAGTTAACAGCTAAAATTGCAGAAAATAGTACAGTTAAAGAGCAGACTGTAGAAGAAAGCAGTAGAGTGTGAAAAGTGGTCAGTGTATCCTCCAGCAGTCTAAGCCTATAGCAGCATAACTACAGAGATAACTCTGGATAATCTATCCTATTTAGATGGAGGCATGTTGGAGTCAGGGCAAGGGAGAGCCATCTTTACCGACTGTACACTCCACCTCCCTGTACTCCCCCACTTGTCCAGATATAGGCTAACATCAGATTTTAACCATAGGCCCTATCAAATAAAAATGTTTTAAGCCTATTCTTAAAAGAAGACAAAGTGTCTGCCTCACGGACTGAGGCTGGGAGCTGGTTCCACAGGAGAGGAGCCTGATAACTAAAAGATCTGCCTTCCATCCTAATTTTAGATATTCTTGGAACCACCAGTAGACCGGCAGTCTGAGAGCGAAGTGCTCGGTTAGGAACGTATGGAACAATCAGATCACTGATGTATGATGGACCTTGATTATTAAGAGCTTTATATGTGAGAAGAAGGATCTTAAAATCTATTCTGAATTTAACAGGTAGCCAATGTAGGGAAGCTAAGACAGGAGAGATATGATCTCTTTTTAATTCTCATCAGAACTCTAGCTGCAGCATTTTGGACAAGCTGCAGACTTTTAACTACATTCTGTGGACTTCCTGAGAGTAATGAATTACAGTAATCCAGTCTTTATGTAATAAATGCATGAACTAGTTTTTTAGCATCACTCCTGGAAAGGATGCTTCTAATCTTAGCAATATTCCGAAGGTGGAAATAGGAAATCCTACAAACCTGTTTAACCTGGGATTTGAATGACATGTCCTGGTCAAAGATAACACCAAGGTGTCACGTTCTGAGGATGTTAGGACCCAAATATGCAGTTACCCAGGATGACACGAGGCAGAGATGATGAAAAAGTAAAATTCTTTATTTTGAAGGCGGAACAAAAGTAAATCCAGGCAGCGAGCCAGAAGTCCAAAATTCCAGATAAGCTCTGGAGATCAAAAACTCTAGAAAGTCCAAGGGGCAAAGAACACTGGTAATCCAAACGAGACGAGACTGACAGAATAACAAACATTCAATGGACCGCCAAGAACACAGAGACAGACAGGGCTTA